AATCGACAGTTCACGGAGTTGTAATTTTTGGATACCATGTGTGGGCGGATCCTCGCGTTGTATATAGTTTGTTTTTAATAAAGCTCTTTCTTTGCATAAACAGCTTCCTGGCAAATGTTCATTTCCTGTATAAATTCATGTCCTTGATGGTAGCCTAATAATAGTGTAGTAGTGTAGGATAACATGAATATACAGCATAATGTGTGTATATATATATATATATATAAACCAATCACGAGCGATTTTACTTGTTTAAAAAGAAGTGGTTCCATCCAATATTCAGTAAGAACATTCAAGCCTGGCCTGGCCGTGTGTGGTTTTGCTGCCAATCAGGAGCGATTTTACTTGTTTGAAAATAGTGGTTTCAGCCAATACTGAGTAGGTTATTCAAGCCAGTCCGGTTCCAACAATTTGTGGCACTGACAAACGGCGACAAGCGCGAGTTGCAAACTGTCGTTAACTGCCGAAAATGAGGGAGATCTGCGGTAGTTGACGGGGACGAAAATCTCACTTTTCATGCAGTGTTTGGATTTGGCACCTATATAACTTAACATTTAACAGACTAAAATAGGGTGATGAATTTTCTATAAACTCACAGATGGTTTAATGGGAGCTAAGAAGCTCCTTCATTATCATTTGAATGAATGCAATCACCCCTTGTTCCTGAAAGCCTCTGATTCTTAAAGATCATTGGACAGATTCATACACAGCTACCAATCACCATGAAGCAATCAGTCAATGTAGTCTTTGCTCAAATAGTCATATTTTTTCTGTGGGGAAAAAGACATCTTCAGCATTTCTTCAGCTTTTTTTAATTCATGTCTGTTAAGAAATATGTTTTGAATATTTGTTAGGGACACAGGAACAGTATTTTCTCTAAACTCTGTTTTCCACCAGGAGGATGCTTTAGATCTGCAGTGCAATTCCTATTTATTTGCATGTCTTAATAGTTGCTCTGTCTAACAGAAAAACCTGCCAAAACTCTTAGATCATCTTACAGTTTTTCTCTACTATGAATCGACTTTCTAACTTTCCAAATGCTTTAGATCTGAGCTGCTTATTGTTACTATTGATTTGGCCACTTTTTATTTCTTAAATAAGCTCAGCTTTTCTTTAGGGAGGTAAGGTAAGATCCGATCACTAGGGAAATCCAAAACTTTTCATATTTCTTTATTTTGCTCCAGTCTTTTTTTTATTATTCTGAAATACTATTTCAGATATGTGCTGTTGCATCAAAACCTAAGCTTTGTAAGTGGTTGGTGATATGAAGTAGCTTTATTTGATTAAGAGAATTCAAATCCCAAACATTTACATTACATTTGTGTTTTTGCATAATTTTGGGATTTTATGAACTAGTCATCCATTAAAACTAGTTATTCCAACTGATTCTTAGACCTCATCAGATTATTTTTTTATACAAGGTTAATTTCTGAAGAGGTTTTTGATCTTTCCATAAACAGATATAAAAGTGGTAAACAGAAAAAAAAACATATTTACAAAATTTGAAAAACAAAACAACTTTAAAAAACAAACAATTCATAAACTTTATTGTTGAAAAATCACTTTAGAAATCAATTTCCTTAGAAACTGAATCAGTAAATGTTTCATTTACAAAAAGAAAATTATTTTGCACACACTATTTAAAAATATAAGATAAAAATAAAGTAATCTTTTAAAATGTTTGATAAGGAAAGGTAATTATAATCCGAATAATGAGTTTTTAAATCTCCATTTATAAAAAAAAAAGATTTTAAACTACATTTTCACATTGCCATATTTGATAATGGATTAATAAATAAAACGTTCATTTCCTTTTTGATTATTCAATTTCAAATGTTTAAAGACAAAACACTTTTTAATTGTATTTCAACCTGGAAAGACTCGTACAGAGAAAAGCTGCAGTTAGAATTATATTCAATTTATTTATACAGGCAACACAATCATATTCTTCGAAATATTTCTATCTAAAGAAAACCAGCAGCTTCCGAGGACTCATTGACTCTCTGCAATCCCTCACACCAAGCATGCATTTAGCCACAGTGGAGAGGAAAAACTCCCTTTTAACAGTAACAAACCTCTAGCAGAACCAGTCTCTGTGAGCGGCCGCCTACAAGGCCGACTGGGGTTCAAGGAGATAGAAGCAGATGAAGACATAAATAAGTTCTTTGGCGCTTGGGGGCCCGGCAGGAGACTTTGATGCTGTGAATCAACATACTCTTGGATGAGTAACCTAAAAAGTGTAACCTAGAGCAGTCTTCCCCCAGGGCCCCGACACTGGTGGTGGAATAAGCCAGAGGGTGAGTGGGACTGAGAATAAGGAAGGAGGAAGGTGCTGGAGGTGGGTAAAAGTTCCCTTCCATGTGGGAGAGAGAAGCTTGGCCAGGAGCTAAATGAAGGGGATTTGGCAAGATGATTGGCTTCGGAAAGGGTGCACCCCCGAGTTTATTTCCTGGAGCTCAACGAGGGACATTGCAGGTGGTTCAGGTAAAGCTGATAAGAGTCTTCCAGATCGAATTTATGCTTAAGCTTCATTTATAATATATGCTTTAAATGTTCAACTTAAATGTTTAAATGCTTTAAGTGAACATCTTTTTCAGTGACTCTCTTAGTCCTCCATAATCATCAGCATAGATTTTCTTTTGGTTCTGGATTTTTAATAATGTGTTTGAACCATTAATTTTCAAGGTGCCAGAAAGAAGTTTCATGTATTAAAAAAACAGAATTGATTTGACAAGTCCAATATTTATATTTTCATTTTCTTTCATCCAAAGATGCCCACTAAATTAGAATAGTAGATAAAAATGATAGAACAGTAGATTTATCTTTTATTCAGGCTGCTTTTAAAATTAGTTCACGTTTTCTATAGAATTTGGAGCCTTCTGACATCCAGTTGCATTACAGTTTCACTTCACTTATCTGAACAGAGCTTTCTTTCTATGATAAAATGCAGATGGCCAGGACGAACAAGAACAACCCATGTATTATCAAGGCTACTGCCAGTCAGGAACTGGAAGATGCAGAAACACTGTTCATCTCCAGAGTTAAGTATTTAACAAATAAAATTGAAAGGGACCCAACCAAGAAAAACACCATAATTCCAAAATCAAAACCTTCCGGTTTGCCTCAAATTTGCTGCCATTCGGCCAACCCGTTAGAACAATATCAACTTTCAAGCATGGTGGTGGCATCATCATGCTTAGGGCTGCATTTGCTTTTAATGATACCAACTGCGATAGAAAGTAGGTGGAATCTCCAAAGAATCATACTTAACCTCAAATCAGCACATAAATGGTTAAAGCAAACTGAGAGTTTTAACAGGAGGCTGGTCCTGAATCTGAATAGAATTTCAATTATTTTAATTCTGGTATGAACTTGTTTAATCTCTATGAGAATATATGGACTGATGTAAGAACTAATTTAGATAAGGTTTAGTGAGGAGAACATTCAAACATCCTGCCAGAAATCCACAAAATGTTTGTTGAGGCCAACATATATAAGACTATGAATAAATTAGTTGGAAAAACAACCAATCTAGTTGGTTAAACCAATTTTGGTTAGATTAGCCAATATATTGGTCAGACCAAGTTATCGATTTTGGAACAACCAAATTAATTGATAAACCAAACAACCAATAAAGATGATAAGTGAAGGTTTACTAATCTGTTTGGCTGTTTACTAATCTGTAAGTGTAGTGTAATAGTTTTGGACCTAGTGACAGAGTGGGATCGGATGGAAGAGTTGGTTCAATCCTCAAATCTTGTTACACAAGTCAACTAATTTTATGGTCAAAGTGACTGGTTTGTACTGGTTTGCCTTTTTGCCAATATAGATTTGTTAAAAACACTATCATATTAGACTGTTTTGACAAAAAGACTGACTGGACCCATAACTACAAACAGATTGGTCAAATTCAACCTTTTCTTCTTTTGCCTGTAGGCTATTGGCCAATATGGAGCCTAGGGTGAAGTTCAACTGAAGAAACTAATTGCTCTCCTACAGCCAATCAGCTTTGAACCAAACCTCCACGAAAGCCAATCGGCATCCAAAGTTAATCTTAAAAGGCCTCCGATACGCACTTGTCTGCTCCTGTGCGCAGGCTGTGGATGCGCTGTGACTTCATTCAGATGACACCATTTCAACCCACCTCCAGCCTCTCCTCCACCATCGTAGCTAAAGCTTCATCAGAGTGTCATTCCTCTTGGACTCTTACTGTGTTCCCTGTCTCACCTCAACTGGTTCAGCAGAAGACCGCCATGTTGAGCCTGGTTCTGCCAGAGTTATCTTTCCAATGGGGAGTTTTTTCTCTCCACTGTCGCTCCATGCTTGCTCATCATGGACAGGTTCTCATAACCTGAGTTATCCAACTGGACTTCCATCTTCCAGGTCCCTGAGTGAAGCTCAGTAACAGCTCAGCAGACCGTCTTGCTAACCAGCAGTCTACAGACTGACCAACTTCATCTATCTCCACTCCACCACCAGTTTCAGGCCTGGAGGGGAAACAGCCCTATTCTTTGCTCCTGTTCATGCATATCTATCAAAATTCAGCTCTATGTTTCCTGCCGAGGTCTGAGCTCCAAAGACAAATAATTGTATCAATAAATTTCTCCTGATTGTCTTTTCTATTCGTGTGATTTTTTTTTTTTACATTGAAGTGGTTTTAGGATGAACGCCTCTCTGTTTGCCAAAGCACAATTATCCAAATAAAGGTTGATTATGTTTATGTTAGTGTGTATTTAAAATCTCCACCCAGTGTGAATTGAGGAACAACCTCTAAATCTAGTCCAATTCAGTAGCTACACCCTGAACTGGGTCATTGTTGAGTTGAAAATCAGTGGAAGAGGCTGAATCAAAATGTTGACTACACCGAGGGGAAATAGCACTATTCTACAAAATAAAAGCACAAGTTGAGCTATATTAGCCAGGTCTCTGTTTTATTGTGAAAGCATGAACCAGAACCTGCCTCCTGATCGATCATTTCTGACTTGATGTGTGTGTGTTTGTTTTTTTTCTCCCCAAAAAGAGGCGACAGAGTTCAGGAGGCACCAGAAACCAGATGCATCACCTGCAGCAGCTCTGCTCCAGCTCAGAACTGCTTAACATTTCTGTTTCAGTCCCTGCGACTGACTGGCAGTAGATTAAAACCATCATTTCTGCTGCTTTAGATGAAGAATGGGCTGCGCGATTTCAGGTCTGGCAACAAAAACGGAGTTTTCCCAGAGAGATGGAGAGGATGCTGCAGCCGCTGTGCGCCCCAGCGAGGAGCGCATCCAGATGATCAAGGACTCCTGGAAAGTTATTCGAGACGATATCGCCAAAGTTGGTATTATTATGTTTGTCAGGTAAGAAGGGGGTTAACATTTCTCTGCTTTACAGGTCTGATTTTTTATGTTTTTATTTTGTTTTTTTGATTTAATGTTAAACAAACAATGGAAACAGTAGATTATGATCTATATTATGTGGATAAATTCAATTTAATGCAAAAAGTAAAGATGTTTTTTTTAGACTAAAATCCAGTAATCTTGTCACAATAGAAAAAGTAAGTAAAGAAAATGTACTTTTTCTTTGGAAGCACTCTTCAACAGGCCGGTTGTGATGTTTTCCTTTTTTTTCTGGAGCCTTCATTTCCCATTAAGATACTTTACATGAAAATACAATGTTTTTTATTCTTTTCAAAAGAAGCTGTTACTAAAACAATGACAGAGATTAAACAGGTTGAAATGCTGCAGCCTTTGTTATAGAAAATCACTTAAACTGTATTTAATGGGAAACTTTGGACCATCTATATGATGTATTTCTATCTGTAATGTTTTAGAGAAATCGAGACTCTATTTGCCCTCAAAACCTGACCTTACCAATCTATCTATCTATCAGCAGGTCTTTATTTGAAGATTTGGTCACTTCATGGTTGAGAGCACCAATTTCTAACCACAAGGGGAATTTTTTAAATCTCCCATTTTATAGATTACTCTAAGTGATTAAATTACTCAGTTAAAAATTGATCTGATCAAAGTTCCTTCTGGTCTTTATAAGGATATATAACCTATTTAACACACTCCTCTTGTGCATTTCTATGACTATAATTCTTTTACTGATAAAACATATTTAACAATGAAAGATAAAAGGATTGCAAAATGATTTGTTTAAAGCTAGAAAATGAGGATAGAGAGGGGCAGTAATGCATGAAATTTGAGTATAAATAGATGAAAGAGTGAAAGGAAGCCCATTTATTTATAAGTGTTAAAGTAACAATGAATTACTCTCAATTATTATTTTTAAGATCTCTATTTTAGAAAGAAAAACCCAGTGCAGGTTTTATCGTGACGATTTTAATCCCGAATTGGTTATGTCTGTTTTTTTTTTGTTTTTTTTAAACCAGTATGATTCACCTTGATTAGCTTCAGGGCCATGTTCGCTGTGCAAAGCATAAGCAGTAACCAGTTCTCTCTATTGAGCAGCCATGCAAGCAGAAATTACAATAAAGGTATTAAGGGTGCAAATCTTTTTAGATATTCACAGGCTACCCCAGGATGGGTGGCGCATCGTATCAGCTGGTTGTTTTACTGATACATCTCCCATCTATGCTGACTTATTGGTTCCAAATATCTATAAAAGCTCTTTGGAGGTGCTCTAATGATGGGGACAGTGTCTGACCCTTTACAAGCCACAAGCTTTACATCCATCTTCCTACTCTGAACCTCAGATTTTCATTGAGCGCTGGAGAAGAAGCCTCCTCTTTGTCCTCTGCTCTTATCTCTTCCATCCTAACATCATTACATGACAATACAGAGCTTCTGGTCTGCAGTAGTGTCGGGTGATTAGGCCAATTATCTACCAGGAAAGCTAATTTCTATCGGTTATGATGATAACCAACATCCAGGAAAACATTTTCCGCTTTCTGACCATTCACAGGAAAAATGAAGCAATTTAAGGATTATAAAGTGATAAACTGTAAAATCATGGTGTACAATGAAAATCGGATTGATAGTTTTCAGATAGCAGATGAAGCTCGGAGACAAATCAGGGTCACGACATCTCAGCAGCAAATAGAATCATCTTCTCTCTGAATTGAAGTTTCAGTATTCATCTACCTGCCAAAGAATGTTTCTCCCTCACATATATTCAAATGAGCAAAGAGTGGATCAAACGGTTGTGAATAATACATAATTGGACTGAATGCAACCTCTGTGCGAAGCCAATTAATATCCCACTTGAGCTATTTGGGGGAGCAACATTGTGTGGTTATGTCAGGAGAGCGTGCACACTCTTTTCAATAGGAGGTACAAAGAATAGTGGAAAATAAGAAGAGCTCTACATGCTGCCCGCTGCTGGTCAATTTACTATTTCCTGGTGCACTCAACAAACCCAGCCTTCATGGATGGATGGCAAGAAAACAAATACATTATATAAATAAATTCAAGATGTTAGTTGTTTTGTTTGGAACAAGCCCTTTAGGAGACAAAAAATGCAGAAGAAGGTTTCCTGTCATGCAAAAAAAAAAAGGTGGTAGTGGCAGCATCATGGTTTGTGGATGCAAGTAAAATTCACAAATTATGAATATGTGTGCGCTATAGCTTTTAAATAGTCATCCGTAAAGGAAAATAAAAGTTGTCACGATTGAATATGATAAATTACTGGAAACCTTTTTCTGATTCCAAAAATAATGTTTTTCCATAATGAAGTGCAACATTTCTCTTTTTATAGCAGTATTGCTGACTGTGAGAAATTGCTGATCATGATGATCGTTCTCATCTTAAAAAGTCTTAACATTTTATTCATTTAAATGGTCCTCAAATCTGAATTTGAAAAAATTCTTACAAAAGGAGAAAAAAATAAGGTTAAAAACGGCAGAAGAGAGCAATTAGGAAACCATTTCCTCTTGGAGAAAATGGGTTCACAAATAAGTGTTGTCACGGTGAGCGTAAAGTTGCAGCTGAGTGACAGGAAACAAGAACTCTAATAAGAGCACTTTGAGCTGAAACATTTGGAAGGATTGAGAAATTCCTGTCAAGATGGTAACCCTGCACCGAGTGCAGGTTGTTACTGCTTGGACCAAGGCCAAACAAAATGGAGATGCTGTGAGAAATGTCAAAGTAATGAGGGAGAAAACCCGATGCTTTAATATGAGGAAAAGGATTGAAACACAAACAGGCAGTGATGGCAGTCGGTGGTCGAGGCTGAACTGTAATGCAAGAGCAGAAGGAAATGAGGTTTACACACTGAAGGGTTTAGATGTAAATCACTATAAACAGCTAAAGAGGAGAAAACAAGATTAGAGGGAGCCAGAATGCTGGTTTGGTGCAGGTCAGATGAAAAACACCAAGAGAACAGCCTGGAGAAAACAAGCATTTTCCTTTCATTAAATGTACAAATGGTCATTGTTGGCATTTTGGAAAAAGTTTTAATCCAAATAAGCAGGTTCAAATGATGCATAGTTTTAAATGACAATACATGCTAAGGCAGTGCAATAAAAAAAAACACCTTACTATTACTTATAAGATTTAATGAAGTAAGACATGCCAGCTAAATTACACTGGCTGCAGGCTGCTAGGTTAGAGCTTTTTATTAAAACTACAAGCTAATAACATTACAGAAGCTGTAATGGAACCTATATCCTATAAGCTGGAACCTGATTAATGGAGGATATTCATTTTTTCTAAATTAATTGTCGCACCAAATAGATTTGAAGCTATGATAATGGCAAATAAAGGAGAATATAATAACCATGTTTTTTTCTTCTTTGTTCACTTTTTGATTGCTTTTATCATCAGTTCTTTGAAAGAAAAAAAAACTAAAACATGTCTATTAGGTATATTTCCATAATGTTTTATAAGTAGCATAATGACAATAATCCAAAGTTGTCAGGATATTGGGGTGTTCATTAATTCATTTTTTTCTTAGAGTTGGGTTTAATATAAATCATCCAACTGATTCTTAATAGTGATAATTAGATGCACAAGTATAAATTTATTGTAATTTATTTCCTGTAATCCAGAAACAGTCAGAATTTATTATCTGTAATAAAATGCTAAAAAGCTGCATTTGACCCTGATGCTTTCCGTTGCTATCAACATAGTTTTAGTGGAAGTATTGCTGCATATTTAATCAACCATTTTCAGGCTCAAATGTGGCCTTTAAGCATGTTAAGATTTTAACAGGGCCCAGGCCTCAGCTATTAATCTGGTTTGGTTTTAGCCTGATTTTTAATCTGTCCAAAACTAATTTGGATGTCACTCTAGGATAATTACCTATTGGTAAAAAAATAAAGATCAACATTGAGGGAAAAAGTGTTGATTATAAAATAAACATTTCAAACCAAATGTCCATGTGTTTACAATGTCCCTAAGAGAAACGCTGTAGGATGCAAGTATATCCTTTTTTTTTTTTCTTGGGAACACTTTACCAAGCATGGTGGTGGCAGCATCATGTTGAGGGTTTTATTCACTTCCAAGCTCACTAATGTATAATACCACTTCTACTTGAGCCCATATCAACACTAAAATGGTTAAAACTAGAACATAACTGGGGGATCCACCAGTATCATGATCCCAAACACAGTGAAACCAGTTTTTGACTTGTTGAAGCAGTAAAACAGTAAAAAGTTTTAGTTATTTAAAAATACCTGTACAGCCCTAAAGCCGAGTCTCTGTGTAAAAACTAGCCAATATAAATAAACTCAGCTATTTTTGATAAGATGAGAGGTTGAATTACTATCCTGAATTGTGCCAATGCAGGTAGCCAATGACTATAAAATTGTGGGAAAAATCTGCTGATTACAGAAAATCTATAATGAGTTAAAGAAAAGCACACCCAATTCGTGTTCTTAGGAACCACTGGATTGGTGTGATTGGTCACCGATATCAAAAAATCCATTAAAGTCTAAAATTAGAAAAGCATTCTAGTGATTAGGAGTCATAGTTCTGCCCTTTGGGGACTTCTTTTTGAGTTTCGTTTTAAGTTTCCAGTTATGTAATACTGTTTTGTTGGTCATTGGTTTCTTTTCCATTTTGTGTGATATTTAAGCAGTGTTGAATTTTTTGAGTTTCTCTCTGTTGCTCATGTGCCGGTCTCCTTTCCCCTTGCTCCCTTCTAGTTACTTCTATCCACACCTGCTCCCTATCAGCTGATTAGCCCTGTCTTTGTTCTGTCTCCCATATGTACACCTCATGTGCAGCATTGCTGGATTCTCTTTATTGCTTAGCTCCTCGTGTGTGTTTCTCCCTGGCGTCTCCAGGTTTTCTTTTTCTTTTATTTTTATTATTCCTGGATTTGTGCTTCTGTTGCCTCCACTCATTAAATATGCAAGAAACTCTCTGCATTTGGTTCCTCAAATAACTTCCACCAAATCTGACATTAGCAGTAAAAGTTCTTGTGGACTTTTTTTTTTCCAACAATGTCTTACCAGAACTGTTAAACTTATTATTAGATAAATGTTACAATTCAAAGAAACGTCTTTTATTGAATACTTTTTGGCTGGAGTGTAAAAAGGAATGTAGAATCAGGATTTTGACTCTTAAGTCTGGTTGCCTACATTTTATTACTTTTTTATTAAGTAGGGAGAATGATGATTAAAATGTCTTTATAACTGTAGTTGCAGTGTTTTCTTTTTTTTATCTGTTTGGAAAAAAGGTAATTAGTAAAAAAAAAAGATTTTAGGTATGCAAGCATGAACACCCTCCTTAACTCTGTAATCTACTACTGAAAAAACCTCACAAAGCTCAGTCAGAGAAATCTAAAGGTAGCTTTTAAAGCCATAGTTACTCAAAAACAACAGGGATAAACGATGCATTAATGACAGAGAATATAGCAATGTGGCACATCAAGTTAAACTTCAGAAGGATACAAGCAAGCACAGATTGTTTTAAAATTTAAAAAACCAAATTAAAGTTATACCTAAATTAAATAAAAACAATAGCAACCTATAATCCACATTTCTGTTTCCACAGCCACATCCTGCATTAAACAGCACACAATACATTTCAAATTAAAGTAGGGACTCGAGCCATGTGCTTCACTTTCCTCTCCATCAATGCATTGCAGAGACACAAGCCAATAAACAGCAACAGATGAAACTGCTCTTCCCTTTGCTGTTTTACCAAATGTATTCAAATAGATGTTGTGGTTGCAGAGATACACTCATTTTTAATTAGAGTGTGTAATTTTGAGAAAAATGGGCTGAAGGTTCAAAGGGTTAAATCAGTCCTGGAGTAGATGCAGTGGCTTCATTCAGTCGAGGCTGGAACTGACAGCAGGAAACATTTGGCTGATACATTGCAGGTCTTCTGTATTCTGTTATTTGTTTCAGTTACTGATTTTTAAAATCAGACTGAAAGGCTGTGATTAAAAAAGATCATAATAATCAGACAAAACACAATCTGATCTTTTTTCTGTGTGCAGGAGGAAGAAAAATGGCTGAACAGGGAAGATACTAATCATGAAGACTATAAATGTTTGTCTTTTTGAACGCAAGATTACACTGTGACTAATCCTAAAGGCTTTCAATCTTTGTGATGGGGAGAAAACCCGAGGGGGACGTTTGTTTCGGTTTGGCCATGAATGTGACAAGCTGCCTCACGAGTGGCTCTCAGAGGCTTACGGATGGCTGCTCTTGCTGCTTTTGTTGTCTTGGTAACAGGTTGTTTGAGACCCATCCCGAGTGCAAGGATGTCTTCTTCCTGTTCCGAGATGTGCAGGACCTGGAGAGGCTGAGGACAAACCGCGAGCTCAGAGCCCATGGCCTGCGGTGAGTGAAAGACAACGCATCTCAACACATCCCCTTTGCAAAAGTATTCACACCTGGTAACTTTGTCTAAATTTATGTCATTGCAACAACAAACACTTAGCTGTTTCTTTATTATAAATCATTACATTTACAGAATAACTGCGATATAAAAGGAAAAGAAGTAGGGTTTTCAAACATTTTTTCAAAAAAAAATCTAAAATTTGTGGGAGTTAGTACCTTGAAAAAGCCCCGTTCTCTCCAATCTTTTTTGGTTTGTCCTTCAGTCTTACATATCTGGAAGTTTAATCTTCTTTTGTGAATATATTAGCTTCGTTCAATTCGGATGAACGTCTTTGAAGAATCTATTTAATGAATTTCCAAGTATTTTCAATTTGTTTTAGATCTGGACTTTGGTTAAGCCATTCCAATAAAGGGATATTATTTGATGTAAACCATGCAATGGTAGCTCTAGCTGCATGTTTTGGGCTGCCCTGGTGGAAGGTGAACCTGAACCCGAGCCTTTAGTCTTCTTTTATATGAAGAAAGATCGAAACCTCTTTTTGGAGATAAATAACCAAATCAGATCTCTTTTCAGATTTTAGTCCAGACTTTAATTTAAAACCTTTCTGTATTCAATGCATATTGAAATTGTTGCTTTTTCTCTGCTTTAACTGAAAAAAATTACATATTTTTAGTTATTCTTTTGTTAAGAAAAACTATTTGACATACAGTTATGCTTGAAAGTTTACATACCCTCTCATTGGAGAAAATAAAACTAAACTGAAAAAATAACGATAAATAAACATTTACTAAATTACATTTAACTAAATAAAATATTGATTGTAAGTTTTTGTTTAAAAATAATAATAATAAAAGTAAAATAAGCAAATAAGCAAATAAAAGTACAGCGCTCATTAACAATGAACCAACATACCTGTCAACAAGTGCAGAAGTCTGAACATTTCTCATTGCTCAACACAATTTTAGTTCAGTAGCTCCATCAGGCTTGTTTACTTGTTTAAAATTGAAATTTATTGTGAAGCAAGTGGGACACAATTATGAAGCAGAACAAAAGTTATTGGATATTTTAAACTGTTTTTACCAAATAAAATGCTGAAGAGTGGGGAGTGTAAGATTAATGGAGCCCTTTACTTTCAGTGCAGCAAACTCTTTCCAGAAGTTCAGTGAGGATCTTTGAATGATTCAATGTTGATCTAAAGGATAAATATAATCCACCTGTGTGTAATCAAGTCTCCATTTAAATGCTCCTGCTCTGTGATCGTCTCAGAGGTCTCTTTTAAGCACAGAGAGCATCGTGAAGAACAAGGAACACACTAGGCAGGTCCGAGATCCTGATGTGGATGCTGCCAAGACGCCCTTTATCCCTCTAGATGAACTGCAGAGATCTACAGCTGAGGTGGGAGACTCTGTACACAGGACAACAGTCAGTCATATGCTGCAGAAATCTGACCTTTATGGAATAAAACATTTCTTAATGAAGTTTGCTACAAGCCACCTGGGAGACACAGCAAACATGTGGAAGAAGGTGCTCTGGTCAGATGAAACCAAAATCTAACTTTTTCCAAAAATGCAAAACACAACTCATCACCCTGAACACATCATTTCCACTGTCAAACATGGTGGCAGGACCATCATGGTTTGGGCCTGCTTTTCTTCAGCAGGGACAGAGAAGATGGAAATTGAAGGGAAGATGGATGGAGCCAAATACAGGACCACTCTGGAAAACCTGTTGGAGTCCAAAAAAGACCTGTGACTAAACCTCATCCATTCGTGTCTAATTATTTTGGAACTCTTGAATTTAGGGATGTAAGAAGGCTTTTAAAAATCTATTGATAGAACCTCGCAAAATTTTCCATACCCCTCAGACTACAACAAAAGCTCAAGAGTATCTTATTTGAATTTAACATGAGAGACAAGCACCAAGTAGCACAAAGCTTCTAAACCACAAAAGTGTGAGAAAAAGAGGAAGCTTGTAACAGGCAAAAGGACCAAGTTTACCCTGAAAGAGCAGCAAAGATTCACAGCCCATGTTAGAGAATCTGTTCGCAAATCAGACCTGCAACGCCTCAGACTGGAAGAAGGTGAGAAGAGTGGTGAGAACAGCAGAGAGAATCATTGGGGCTCCTATTCCATCCACAAAAGACATTTCATCCCAGCACTGAGTGTCCTGAGCCTGTAACATCATCAATGACCCCTCACACCCCCACCATGGATTGTTCTCCCTGCTGCCCTCTGGGAAGAGGCTTTGAAGCATCCAATGCAGGACCAGCAGATTCTCCAACAGCCTCTTCCCCACCGCCATCAGACAGCTGAACTGTTGAGAAAACTCTATATCATGTCACAGACCCTGCATCACACTGATAACACCAAACCAAAACATTGCATAATTGCACCATATATATTTAATGCTCTGAACCTCCATATCATTGTTTTTTTTGCACCATTTCTTTTCTTCCACACTGTTTACATTTTATCACTGCTGCACTTTAAAAACTGGAAATGTCCTGAGAGCTGTACAAAACGAAATTTCAATAAAAGTTGTCGAAGTCTAATTCTATTGGCAGAGTAGAAACATGAAACACTGAGCATCTCCTTGAACAAAGCATCCTTACATACAATGGTAGCAGATCAGACCTATTGACTGAGTGGGGACTTCAAACAAATATACACATCTTATGTTGCTGATTTTCATTGGTGGAAAAGTTTCAAAAACCATGTATCCTTTACTAAAAGAAAGACTAAAAAAGGCGAACAAATTGTTCTTTTTAGAGGATGCAAAATTTGGAAGACAGTCAAAGGAGATTTGAAGGCAAACTTGTTGTTTTGTAAACCTTAAAGATGGATATGCAAAACAATCTCTGCAAAAATGATCTAGATATAAGTAAAACAAAATCTTAAATTAAGTGTATTTACCCTAAATTTAAGTAGGTAAATAATATGATTTGTCAATGGAATGTGTGTTTTTACTTTTAAAATAAGATAATATCCACTTAAAATAAGACAATGCATTCGTTTTTTCTTATTTTAAAGGTAAATTATTTGTTCTATTAGCAAAGTGTCTCACTTACTTCAAATCAAGACAAAATGCACTTATTTTAAGAAAAATTGACTTATATAGATATAAATTTTTTGCAGTGTACTCATGTATTATTCGTGCTTTCTTTTAGAAGTTGCAGAAGATAAAAACCATGCTGTGCATATTAAAGACACGAACAGCTAGATAAGTGGCAGAGCAAAACACCTCAAGTGGTTTCATAATCTGAATGTTTCTCATCGCTCCAACATAGAGAGGATGAGCTGTGGCAAAAGCAGCCAATTAAAATCTGAAGACCCGAAGGTGCAGAGGGTAGCGTGGCATTTCAGCAATCCAAGCACAGATTAGAGGTTTTTCACATCTCATTGGGAAGCTTTCTGCTGGTAAACCTGGAATTAAAAACTACCACATGCAACATCATCAGTCATCAAACTCTGTGGATTTAAAACATAACAAAACAGGAAGCTGGTTTCTTCCTGCTTGGAGAAAACATGAGTTTGCTTGCAGGTGTTTTCAAAATCAATAACCCCCCCTCCCCCCTCCTTTCAATCACTCAGGGTGATGTCATTTATTGAGAAGATTGTGGCCAGGCTGGATCAGCCAGAGAGACTGGAGGCTCTGGCTGTGGAGCTGGGAAAAAGCCATTATCACTACAACGCTCCGCCTAAATATTACAATGTAAGATCCTCCGATGATCAGTGCAGCTGAAGGGAGAGGCTGAAAGTTAATTTGATCATTTGAATTCCAGTTTCTAACCCGGTTGGTGTTTTTCAGTTCGTGGGTGCAGAGTTCATTGGTGCTGTGCAGCCTATCCTAAAGGAGAGATGGACCCCTGAGCTGGAGGAGGCTTGGAAGGTAATTTAAACACATTTAATCATTCAGTGACACAAACTATTCAAATTCCAGAATAAATGGCTGGTTAATCTAAATGATTGAATTTTATTTATCTAATTATATTGAGTCCCTGAACATTATTTGCCTTTTTTTCTTCGTCTCTGCAGAAATTTAGCTGTGTGCAATAAAACTGAACTGTTATCATTTGAAATCAGTAGAGCAATATGTCTTCCTTCTGCAGTTTTTGTGTCATTTAGAATAAATACTATGAATAAACTGGAAATGTCTACTTCCTTTTTTGGCTTTGTTAAATTTCCTAGTAATATCATCTAGAATTGTTTTCTACTGGCTGATGTTATTTTTAGATGCACCAAAATGATCAAAAAAATGTGAAATAGGTAAAAGCAACAGCTCTTTAGCGACGTTGCACTATGGTTTATTACTGGTCAGAATCAGATTTAGGGGCCAGTTTCCATATTTTCAACCTAAAACACTAAAAATAAATCATATACAGTTAACTAAAAATAAGCCTCAGTGTTGAGCAGACAAACTTTAGAGTCTCATAGTTTCGGGTAATAACAGATTTCCTATTAATTATTCCAATTTAACATATAATTGTCAGTATTGATGATCGGCTTTATCTAAAAATAACTCACAAGCTCTTTATTTTTCAGTCTGCTAGGCAGTTTGCTTCTGCACAAGATTTCTCATAACTTTTCAGTATAAAGTAATTATTTTTCTAGTAGATTTTCATTATTGGGACCTCAGGGGATCTTTTTTTTTATACCGGAAGTGAAAATTGGCTTTCTTGCACATTCACCTTTTCAAAAGAGGTAACATGTGGGACAGAGCAGAGAAAAAGGACAGAGGAGTGAATGATGTCAGTGTGCAGACTGAGCAGGAGGAACAAAGGCTGATCTACAGATTAAAAAGGTTTACATCACATATTATGTATTTCAGATATATTTTGGGCTACAGTAAAATTATTTGAAACTGTAATTTTCTACATAGCCCCTCCAGAAACTGAAATCAGAAGCTGCTGCTAATGGGATCAGCCAATTATCATGGGTGCATCCATCACCTTCAGCTGCCGTTGATTATTAAGCTCCTCAATGCACCGAGCAACATGTCAAATTGGACTGCTGCTCTGAAAAGATCTGCATCTGACTGAATCGCTGCAGCAGAAAGAATAGGCTGACTTCACCTTGTTCTGCTGTAAGATCTGAATCATCTCAACACGTTCAAAAATAACTCCCAGCAGGTGAATCCATTTCAGGATTACCTTTGATCCAATGCAGAGATTCCTAGAAAAGTATCAGGTTAGAAAATTTGGACTAATACATTTTGCATTTATGGATAGTTCTTTCTATCCTTTGTTGTCAGCTAAGTGTGTGTTTAGACATGTGGAGAAAACTAATACATCCCTTAGCAAGTCAATATAGGTCAATAATTCATCTAAAGAATAAAAATCATTTAATCAGCTTCTTCAAATTTCTATTATGGAAAAAACAAACCCATATATCAGAATTATGACAGCTATCTGATTATTAAATAGTTAAAGCATAATTACAAGATATTTCATTATTATCTGAAAGTATTGCATATTTATCATAGTAAAGTCATAAATATGAGATTAGTTTTCCACCAGTGTGGCTGAAAGTCTTCAATATGGTACCAATTTAATTCTATTTAGTGAATATGATATATGCATGAATGATAGAGCAGTGAAAAAGGATTTTAAATGCAGACATGTATGGTGTTATGGCCTACAGGATCATGGGAGGAGTTGTGAACCGTCCATCAAACATTCATGGAGAAAAAGAGCTTACAGAGAGCTGTAATTAAGCACAATATTTGGGAAGTTTAGTAGGACAAAGCAGGAGCACAAGTAAAGATTTGGGAAACAGAGAAAATATCACACTAAGAGCTTGGAAGACCTGGCTGGACTGCAGCTCATTAATCCAAAGATCTATTCAAAGACAAAAGCTAATTTTACATTTTAATTAGAAATCAACAGAGTTCAGAAAAGGACTTCATACTTCCCCCTGCTGGCATGCTTTAGCACAGCTAGAGCTACTGGTACCTGGTTCACTTCAGATTAGAACTCCATAGTTTCATCAAAAGGAAGATAAAAATAAAAAAAAAACACTTAAAGGACTACCGGTAAGTAAATCTTTAGAGTGCACACATACCATAGAGTACATGGGCATACCGACCGAGAAGCATAAATTAGTTTGATAAACATCCTTTAAGTTTCTTAAACCATATGGGATTTAATTTTATTAGAATATTTTAAAAACTATCAAAAGCTGCAATATGTATGATATTATTTTATGTATGTGAAGAGATTTAAATAACTCTCAAATGCCAGAATTCATCCATTAATGTTTTAATTTCCCAATCTGCTTGGAAGTTAATAAAATGCTAGAGATGATTCAGCTTAAAAATCTGTTTATCACCTCCAGAAACCCTGACCCACATTTCTCTGCCGTTTCATTGCGATTCAGATGATGTTCCAGTATGTAACCAGCCTGATGAAGCAGGGATATCAGGAAGAGAGCGCCCGACAGCGTGACCTGGCGGCGTCCCCAAAGGACAGACTGGACAAGAACACGGCTCTATGAGATCACAGAAACAGACTGTTTTACAAGCAGCCCAGGAATGTGTATATCTATACTGTCATCGCTGCCCTTTTTTCTATACTGCTCATGTGTTGTTATAATCAGCCACGTTAGCAGGAATCGGTGAAATCTCTGAGAGACTTAAAATAAGAAAAAAAAACTTTATTTCTAAACTTAAATTTTGATGCCAGGACGGGAAACATTGAGGGGAAAGATACAAACCCTTGGATTGGCATAGCATAATAAAAAAAAAAAAAGAAAGAGGGGCCATTTGTTAGTCATAGTAAAGAAAATAAGCTAGACATAAATTATACTGAGCAATCAAACAGATTTATGACTTTCCATTCATATATTTAAACATAATTGTTGTCCCAATCAAAAATGCAAACCCTGCACTACATAAATAAGGGTTAACAGAAATTAAAGGCCAGAAAGCATTGGGCTCTGTGGGGAAACAGGATTTTTTCTCCCACAACATAAAAAGGTAATAATTAAATAAATGGTGGCATGCTCCGTATCCAAATCCTCAGGTTCTGTTCTGTTCTTAATCACCGGATGGCCCTGAACAGCCTGGGATATGGCATCACCATGTAAACAATGGCATATCTACAGTCACCAGGAGGATGATTCTGAGGTTTTAGGAGAGAACTGATTGGGGCTGGAGGTCACATCAGCACAAGGTGACCCCCACACCCCCTTTATACTGTAATGGACAGCTCAGATATCCACTGTTTGATAAAGAGTCTATAGTTCATTGTGTGGCTTTGGTCTTCTTGCTCTTGCTTTTCTTGTCTTTCTTCTTAAGACCATCTATGTGAGCTCTCAGGAGGTTGGAGTATGCCTAGAAAGTATACAATACAGGAGAATGATTAAAGATTTGCTGTTAAAACGAAGGACTGGGTCATTTCTCAACAATGTGTGAGTCGAAAACAATAAGACGTACCATCTGAAACTTGATTACTTCTTTGGTGCTGACCTGAAATTATAGGAACAAAATTTAGCAGGAGATCATGCAGCTAAACAGTAACACAAAAAAAAAAAAATATCTCACCACTGTGCTAATTTTTTTCTTGCCATCAGATGCTCTGACGAGACACTTGTTATCAGCAGGTTCGAATGACTCCGGATACCCTTTTTTGGGCATTGGTTTAGTTCTACCATCATCTAAAAAGAATTTTAAAAAATGAAATTGTAGCTGCTTGGAGGTTAAATGGGTGATTCTGGTCAACAAGGACAACTTACACTTCTTTAATGTGATGACAACGCTGCCAGATGTTCGGCACTTCTGGAAGAGCCGAGTGAGCTCTGTGAGAAACTAAAGAGAACAGTTGGAGATTTATGCTATAATCCTGGTATTTAACGAGTGTAAACAAAAAGAGGCTCAGAGTAAACTGTGAGCAAATGCAGTGAAGTAACTGCAATAATTATCAACAGTGGTGGATGGGTGAGGCTGATTGAGTCATTTTTCTATATTTTTACAGTAGTCTGTTGGCAGAAAAAAGGGATCAGAGACCAAAAAACAGAGTAATACGGGGGTAAAAATATCTAACTTAGATTTTTTTTTCAGAACTGTTTGATACATTTCAGTCTCAATAACTTTCTGTATGAAGATAATGCAAAAAATTATCAGCAGTGACCACTTATGTTGATTTTAAATGGTAACTTCTACATATAAACTGGAATATTGATTTATAATAGTATTTAGGGCTGCAACTAATGATTAGTTAGCAAGTCAATTAATCTGTCTATTATTTTTTCCCATTATCAATTAATTTGAGATAGTAAAAGATTCCTAAAAGAAGACTTTTTAAAAAATTAAATCTGTTGAAACTAAAACTTTTCCACTTAAGGAGTTCTGGATAGAGCATATTGCAGGAGAACTTTTATTTTATTTTTTTTTATCATAAATGCAAAATGCTTACTTTTCTTTTTTAACAATTCTGGTATAATTACTGCTCTAAGTGGGTTGCTTTGTCAGCTAAACCCACATTTTAGAGTCTCTATACTCAAGTTAACGATTAATTGATTACTAAATTAGTTGATGATTATTTAAATAATCAGTTTATCACAATTAATCCAACTAATTGTTTCAGCCATAATGGTATTTTCACACAGACTGCAACTAAAGATTAGTTTGCTTAACAATTAATATGTCTATTATTTTTCTGATTATAAATCGATAGCAAAAGATTCCTTGAAGATTTTTTTACAGCATTAAACCAGGTGAAACCAAAACTTTCCCACTTGTAAAATTCTGGATAGGCAATATTGACAGACGAAATCTTAAATGCAGAATATTTACTTTTTTTCCCTCTCCCCATCTAGTAATTAACAGGATGTGAAACTTCAGTTTGAGAAAAAAGCTGAGCTAATTTTAAGACATTAAAAACATCTATTTGATTTTTTTATTAAACTTCTTAACTTTTTTTTTTTTTTAGGATACATCTGGTCCATTCATTTATCAATTTAAACAACATGGACATCTAAAACACTGAAACCAGTAGATTTAATTAAAATAGAATAAATATCGGACCGAATATAGGGACCAATTTTGTGAGTGAAAACTAGTTGCAGTGGTAAATTCAATAAGAACAGATGGTTTCAATTCGTATATCTGGAACTTTATGATAAATTAAGTGAATATTTGCTTTTTTTGAACGAGAAACACGTTTCATTTAAGCCTATAGCGTTGATATGGCAGATATTTCCACCATGTCTGAGGTTTATCACTATAACATCCACGACTGCAGTTTAAACATTGTTCTTAATCCACAATGCGAGCGTTAAAAGCCTTTATAATTTTAAAATGCAAGTATTTGAATATTTTCTCAGCCACTTTCAATTTACCCGTTAGCCGGCTGGCTAGTAGCCGCTGAGGCTTAAGTCAACAAACAGCAAGAGAAAACACCATTTATGTTTAACAGCGAATTCAACTGAAGAGTAAAAATAATTTCAGGGGGTCTGATTAATGCTCTTACCGAATCATTTTCGAGTAACACCATAATTCCGGATTGTTGTCTGCTGTAAGGCTAACTCACTAACTGTGAGACAGGCACACGTACCATAAGGTGGAGCTCCGCCCTACAGCTTCCGGTCAACTCCCGCCGCATCAAACACTGCCACCTACTGGCATGGAAGAAAACACCCGATGCTGCTGCTTTGGATTTTTTCATTTAAAAATTTGTTATGTGCGCTCTTGCAGACAGGGCTGTAACCAGGATTTTTGAAATACCGAGGTCAAATATTGCGATAAATCTTACTTGACAAAAAAACATCCTAATATGGTGACTTTTTAAAATATATTTTGTAAACGTGAATAAAAAGAGTTAAATCACAAGCCCATCAAGTAGGTGAATATGAACATGAAACTCACAAAATTAGAGTACGTGAGTGACTGTTATTATTATTATCATAATCATCATTATACTATATCATTATTGTTGTTATTAATATTGAATTATTATTACTACTATTATTATTGTCACCATCATTACCATGCATCTGCATGGCCCACTAACTGAATCAAATGACTTGCAATATTATATTATTGTGGACTTGATTTTATATATATATATATATATATATATATATATATATATATATATATATATATATATATATATATATATAACAAAGTGTTCTCAATGCTGGTTACAGATACGTACAATTCTGAGATAATACAGGATTAGCTAAAATAATTAAAACTAAGTCTAATTCAATTCTTTGTATATTAAATAAGTATGTGTATTTTTTAACATTTAATAATAAAGAACAAGCTTTGTCTTTATGAGTAACGCTAAATAGTTTTCTTTAGTATGCAGATAAAAAAATTAACTCATGATGAATTTCTAATGAGCCACTTGATACATATGACTTTACACCATAATGCATTTTCTATTGTTGGTTTATAACCACATTAAATCAGCTTTAGGAATCTGAAAACCTCCATGACAAGATTCATAGTAATGTGAAGAACCCCTGGGTCGTCATTAGTCCCTCCCTCAGTAGTGTCACTCACTGTGACCCCCATACCTTCTTTTGTCTAACTACACAGCAGCGGGGGATGCCAGAGTACAGTTATGGCCAAAATGTGTGTGAAGGGCAAGCTGTACGAACAGTAATTGTTCTTGCCAGACTCTTGTAGAGGTTACAGCTTATGTGAAGGAATTTACCGCATTAATAACAACCCATGACATTTAACACACAGTGTTTTATTTCTAAGAGAGTCTGCAACCTCTGATCCAATAATCCATTGAATCAAAGGTAGCAGACTTTGTTTTGTGGTGCAGGAACTTGAATTATTCTTTATTTGCAATCTCCCCCATAAAAGAGAGTCTTTTGTTAAGGAGAATATCTGTAAACCTTTTAAATAGGTAATCGGATGTTCTGTTGAAATAATCCAATGCAGTCATAATAAAACATGGACAGCAATGTTTTAGAAAGTAACATTGAAAAAATTCTTTGCTTCCCACATAGAGCCTTCAGGGACCAACAATAAAGTCAATTTATTGTACCCGTTTGTCTGCAATTCAGCAATTATGGTTCAAGTTCTATAAATGTTTAATACAGTTCTATAAAGTTGTAAGTTGTGTTGCAGGAAATCCTGCAAAGAAGACTGAAAAAAAGTCTTTTAAAATACATCTTATAGGAGGCTTAACTGCTGGTGTTAATGTTTAATTTATTTCAAACATTTACTTAGAATCTCAGAACAATGAGTCCTCAAAACTTTCATCAAGCCCTAATGAAGCTTTATAATGAAATAAATGACTGATAATTTTTTTTTACACTCTAAACGCATTAGACAGGATATCCATCTATTTAATATATAATGCATTCAAAGAAACAATATAGGAAAATCTGTACATTAAAAGCTATTAAGAATAACATGTTGTACTGAAAAAGAAAAATGCAACATAAATGTCATGGTATAAATGTTAAGATAAATTATTTATAGTCGTCTGATCAGAACTGTGGTTATCGTGGTGACAGTGCACAGTCCAGGTTGCGCTGAAGATCCCTGAGGTTCACAGCATATTCTGAGTGCCAGTCTCTGTTGAATACGTCCTTCAGCTGGTTGTGCAGTGTCTTACTGTTCCACCCAGAGTGAGCAGAGTTCTGGGAAATCACCAGACTAACTCCAGCTGTGGTCAGGAAGTAGTCGCCCGCCCAGTTAGAAGTACCTGGGTTGGAAAACGGGGATTATGTCGGTTAAAAAAAAAACAGGTAAAACCTATAAGATAAAGTGAACTTTTACTTTAAAATCACCAGCATAAAATATTACCTCACCTATGTATGCAACTTTATCAGTCACCATGTATTTATTATGGTTGACTCTGGCATATGGAATGTCAGACTGATTTCCCACTGGAACGATGTACAGTTTCTTAAAAAAAAAAAAAAAAAAAAAAAAATCAGACGACTTTTTGGGAAAAAAAACTTTACAGCATTTTGGAAGAATATTTCCTTCCTTACAAATGGCTTTAATTTTTTTTTATATATATAAAATGCAGATTTCAATAATGATTTAATTTACTCAGGAAACAAAGCAATCCAAACCGACCTTTTGGAAAAGTAAATTGTCCCTTAAAGGTATTGTTGAGGATGGTCGTGAATTTTTGAAAAGACCCCCTCTCCACTTTAAAAACAATATACACATGCACAACCCTGTACTTCCTTCCTGGGAGGGAATGGCTATTAACCACATGCAACAGCATGCATGAGCCCATTTCTCCTCGTGCACACTATTTAAAAGTTCCTGTTTGCATCGCTCATACAAGCCTACTTTCCAAAAGAACATTTGCAATTTTTCCACTATGTCAGACTCACCACCGGTAAGTGAAAATGGCGACGTGCACATAGGACAGCCTTATGTAAACATATCACCAGAATGATTGACAGTTAGGAGGACGACTTATTTTGATGATCCACCTGGAAAAGGAACATCCTCCACTATACCCTTAAAACTCATGGTTTTACCATCCTCAGAGGTAGCACCTGCGTTGAGTTTTCAATTCGGACATACCTGGGAAAACATGTATAGGTTTTCTGTAGAGGATTTGCTTGTCTTCTCTTCTATGCTGGATTTAAGTTTCAATTCAACAGTATCGGAGGAGATTTTTTCAGTATTAGCAACATGATACAGCCTCTTAATTTTGTTAAACTATTTAGATCTTACTGTTTCACACTAAAACATTCATTTTTTTGTCAATTCAGAAGTTTCAATTAAATTCAATTACAATTCAGTTTATTTGTATAGCGCCAATTCACAGCACACGTAATCTCAAGGCACTTTACAGTTCACCAGATCATACTGTTAGTTGATTCAAAGTTTTCTGAGGAAAACCAGTTGATTGCATCGACTCATTGACTCAAAGGCAATCCCTCACACTAAGCAAGCTTGTAGCAATAGTAGAGAGGAAAAACTCCCTTTTAACAGGAAGAACCCTCCAGCAGAAGCAGGCTCAGTGTGAGCGGCCATCTACTGAAGCCTACTGGGGTTCAAGGAGACAGAAGCAGAGATACAAAAAGCAACTGTAAAAGGCGGCACCGTCCATGAACACACAGCCAGGCAGACGAGCTCTGAGCCATCTCCCATGTCAGAGGATGAAGAGAGCACATTCAGATCATTGTTTCTTCTTCTAAACCCAAAAGTACTAAAACCTGATGTCCAACCTGAAGTCCAAAACTGATGCTACAGATCCTGCAGTGAAATAATCGAAAACCCTCACTCCGCCACAAAGATTGATTGTCGGTCTGGTGCTCGTTTGCTGAAACTACACTATATTGCCAAAAGTATTTGCTCACCCATCCAAATTATTGGAATCAGGTGTTCCAATCACTTCCATGGCCACAGGTGTATAAATTCAAGCACCTAGGCATGCAGACTGTTTTTACAAACATTTGTGAAAGAATGGGTCGCTCTCAGGAGCTCAGTGAATTCCAGCGTGGAACTGTGATAGGATGCCACCTGTGCAACAAATCCAGTCGTGAAATTTCCTCGCTCCTAAATATTCCACAGTCAACTGTCAGCTGTATTATAAGAAAATGGAAGTGTTTGGGAACGACAGCAACTCAGCCACGAAGTGGTAGGCCACGTAAACTGACGGAGCGGGGTCAGCGGATGCTGACGCGCATAGTGCGAAGAGGTCGCCAACTTTCTGCAGAGTCAATCACTACAGACCTCCAAACTTCATGTGGCCTTCAGATTAGCTCAAGAACAGTGCGCAGAGAGCTTCATGGAATGGGTTTCCATGGTCGAGCAGCTGCATCCAAGCCATACATCACCAAGTGCAATGCAAAGCGTCGGATGCGGTGGCGTAAAGCACGCCGCCACTGGACTCTAGAGCAGTGGAGACGCGTTCTCTGGAGTGACGAATCGCGCTTCTCCATCTGGCAATCTGATGGACGGGTCTGGGTTTGGCGGTTGCCAGGAGAACGGTACTTGTCTGACTGCATTGTGCCAAGTGTAAAGTTTGGTGGAGGGGGGATTATGGTGTGGGGTTGTTTTTCAGGAGCTGGGCTTGGCCCCTTAGTTCCAGTGAAAGGAACTCTGAATGCTTCAGCATACCAAGACATTTTGGACAATTCCATGCTCCCAACTTTGTGGGAACAGTTTGGAGCTGGCCCCTTCCTCTTCCAACATGACTGTGCACCAGTGCACAAAGCAAGGTCCATAAAGACATGGATGACAGAGTCTGGTGTGGATGAACTTGACTGGCCTGCACAGAGTCCTGACCTCAACCCGATAGAACACCTTTGGGATGAATTAGAGCGGAGACTGAGAGCCAGGCCTTCTCGTCCAACATCAGTGTGCGACCTCACAAATGCGCTTCTGGAAGAATGGTCAAAAATTCCCATAAACACACTCCTAAACCTTGTGGACAGCCTTCCCAGAAGAGTTGAAGCTGTTCTAGCTGCAAAGGGTGGACCGACGTCATATTGAACCCTATGGATTAGGAACGGGATGTCACTTAAGCTCATATGTGAGTCAAGGCAGGTGAGCAAATACTTTTGGCAATATAGTGTATTTTCATCTTACAGCAGATTTAACAGGACACAAGTGTTCAAAAAAGTTCCCCTTGTGCCTCATCGGTCTACAGAATATTTTTCAGCAATTCTTGTTAATCATAATGTGTTTTTGAGGGAAAGCTGTGAGAGGATATTTCTTTGTTATTGCTATCATAAAATAAGACATTGGCTAAGCAGATCAAGCCCGAAGAGCTTAAGGTGTTCTGGATTCTTCGAGAGAAACGAGGATAAATTTCTGGTCAGACATCGTTGGTAGGGTTCCCCAAAGTTCCATATGTTCTCCTTTTGTGGATAAAAGCTCTTACAGTGGTTCATTCAAAGTAACATTGTAAGCCTCTCCATACTGATAGAGGTAATGACCTTATTTCTCTTGTGTTCTTAAATTTTTCAGATTAGGAAAAATAAGATGGCTTTCACATCTTTTAGCTCTGTTATGTTGATAAAACAGGTAGTGTTTGTTTCTTCGCTGCAGGTCTGGCAGGAATAAAATCTAATTAGGAGGATAAAATCTTCATTGCATACCCAGATTCCTTTGTATAAACTTTACCCCTCTAATAATGACATAATAATTGGAAAACTACATTTTATATGTACTCAAGTTATCTTGTTCAGTGATAAAAAAAATATCTTATCTTACAACTGAAGACATTAATAAGAGGCAAATGAATTTTTTTCCAGGACAGTATCACATAGGAGTTGCAGATACAGCTCCTCCATAATATCTCACTATTTGGATGCTGATGTGATGAGGAGGGTAGTCCATTGAAGCCAGTGACTGAAGAAAGGGCAACATAGCTGGATCAGAGTCACGCCCGCAGCTGATCAGCATCCTGATCTTCACCTTCCTTTCAAATGCAGCCACCTTGATCGCATCGTCGATGAAAGGCCAGTATCTGCAAGAACTCCAGCGTGAGGAGATCTAACAAGACCAACAGGTTTTAATAGAATTGTATTTTGGGCTCACATGTGAGGCTTTTCAAAACGAGTGGTGGGAAAGTACTCCATGACGGCAACATCAACAAACTTCTCAGCATCTGAGATCGAGGACAGAATGGCCTCTAGGTCCTGAGTTCTTGATTGAGGACAGAAGGATGGTGGAGAACACTGGGATGGAACACAAATATTAAAAACAAAGGATATTTTGATGACCCGACACTCTCTTTAGCTGTTTGGACTGAAAACAAACTCCCTGATACCTCTTGGTCACCACTGTCCTATAGTCCACTGTTCTTAAGAAAGCAGGACTCTTAAAAAGAAATCATTAGGAACTCACAGCAATATACAGGCTGCTGGAGATGTTATCCTCCTTCACCAGCAGGGGGTGCTGTTTATTAATGTTAGTGGAATATTTTGCCGGCCAGGGCTGAGGCAGGGAGCTGTTGGGTTCCCCCATCACCCAGTAGGACTGGAAGATCTTATGAAGATCCATTGCAAGACTGGAGCAATTATAGACCACCACTCCCAGTTCCTTTACCTGCAGTCAAAGTTAGAATTTTATCAACAGCTATTTAAATATTAAAAATATTCTTTTAAGAAACAAATCCATTCCCGTTTATAGTTTCACCTGTGTAAGAGCCCTCCAGTCCATGTTAGCACTTCCAATGAACACATGCTTCATGTCAACGATCCAGAACTTTGTATGGAGGACGCCTGCCGTCAGGCGGCCACAATCTACCCTCCTCACCTGAACCCCTGCAGAAAAAGCCGCAAAATAGTTTAATCACTGTTTACAGCAGGTATGTAAAAATGAAAGAGTACATTAAGAAACCTTTTTGTTTCAAGATTTTTAGATCTGTGGAGTTTGATTTAATTGTGGGAACGCTGGTCACGACTCGGACGGATATGTTCCTGGAGGGCAGCTCCCCGAGTCCTTGTAGGATGTCCCTTCCCTTTTTCCACAAAACATCATTAACAAAGAATATAAATGACATGTTATTTATTTAAATAAACTCAGAGTCAAGAACTCACTGGGACATCTGTGGAAGAGTTCACATTGATATCGTCCCCTGTTAGTGTCCAGTAGAATGACACCACCTCCACCCTGTGCGATGCTATGGAGAGCAGGTCTTTCCAGACTTGCTCCAGAGGGATCCCAAAAGTTGCATTATCTTTATATTTCAAATATAGAGGAATGCTTTCCACAAGGGCCATGCTGCAGGAAATAGTAGCAATACAGAAATAATAACAAAAATGTTTGTAACAGACTTTTTTTTGTACTTCAGTTGGATTTTATGTGTAAAAGACATATCACACCAACACATAACATCACATAACTGGCAATATATTGTAATTTTCAGCTGCCCAATATAATATTGATGTTTCGGTTCTTAGTATGGATTAAAAAAAAAATAAAAAAATAAATATATAAATATATATATATATATATATTTATAGGAAGCCACAGTTGAAGATGTAGACTAACTTAAACCCGAAACAACATACCATACACCAAAAAAAACAATGATCATTATTTTCTGATGAACATATACAACACTTGTTTTTTATCTATACCTGTAATTTTGATAGCTTGGGAAAATATCACAATATATAGTGATATTTCAATAGCTTGATAATATAACATCGTGACACGGGTCATATCGCAATATGATTGCAACATGCCAACACTCACCTCTAACCCCAACTCAAGAATGTTTACATTTAAAAAGCTGTCCCTTTTAATTTAATCTAATGCAACTAGTTTCCATTTAAGGGTGACCTTATTATTATAATTCATCTCAATCATGTCTAATTTAATCTCAATGTTAATTCTGCTGTTCTGTGAAGGATTCGACTTCTGCTTGAGAACATTTGTAAACAAACAGCATCACGAAGACCAGAGATTCCAGAATCTGAACACATCCCTTTTTTCAGGTGTTTTTTCTCTGCTCCTAAAAGCAGCAATTATCAAACCACAGTTGAAAAAGAAGAAGTTGGACAAGCTGCTACTGCAGAACTAAAGGCCTATATCTATCCTTTCCTTCAACATCAGTTGGGTTTCAACAGCAAATTGGAACAATGGGTATTTTATTACTGAAATAACGTCTTCAGAATAAAAGGACTAATGTCTCAACAGGAATTGAAAAGAAGTATACCATGTGTTCATCTTCAGTTAAATTAGTGGTGTCTTAAAAACAATGCTGCTGCCTGTATCCTCACTATGATTAAGGAAATAGAGTAAAACTCCCACTTCCACTGCATTTCAGAGACCAAATTTTAAAATATTTGTTCTATAAATCACTTTGTACACTATAGTGTACTTTTGTTTTCCTACATTTTTTTATGCAGCACTTGTGACAGAATTGTCTTGTGACTGGAAGATCCAATACCTACAAACTTGCCTCGTCTAGCAAGACAGTCTTTGTTAAACAAAAACCTAAAGAGGTCAGTTTATAACAAACAAAATGTTCTCAGTGCATCTATCTGAAATCCACATTGAAGGATATATTTATACTTTTATACAGCTTACACCAAGCTGGAAAACCTTAAATGTTCATCACAAGCTACTGAACGGTTTAAATTGATGTCAGAATGACCCAGTAAGTTTGAGTAATTATGCAAAGAAGAAAAGATCTCTGTCTAAATGATGTCAGAATAGAAATTAAGAACTGTTATTACAAAAGCTGGAAGCTTGTTTTGAAAAGTATTGATTCAGGAGAAGCTGACACACTCTTTCTGAAAGTTTTAAAACCATCTGTGTTACTATTGAACACCCAAACCAAACAGATTCATCATGATAAGACATAACAAAACAAAGCTCAAAGGGTAAGTGTCGTTTTTCAGAGAAACGGTACATAATGGTAAAGTGAGAAGTGTTGATGGGATTATTACCTGCACTGGTCAGTGATGTTAACCCCACCAGTTTCCCCAGGGAGGGTGTCATGTTTTTCCGGAGGCGGTGGTCTCTCCAACACAGCGATGGCAAGAATGATACCGAGTACAGTCAGGCAGCCCAAAATCACAAACAATGTCACAAAGCTGGTCCTCTGAAAAGGTTAACAGGATACGACTTTTAGTGAAGGCAACCTCAAAAAGGAGAGTTAAAACTTTGGAGCCTACCTACCCCTTTGTTGGAGACATAATTGTCATGAAGGCTTCTGTACACAGAAGTCATCTTTTTTCTTTAAAATCCCTACTTGCTTCTTTTACAAACAAAAATGACAATTAACTTTTAATTATTACAGATGATGTGTGTTTCATCCATCGATGTTAAAAGTCAAAGCAGAACAAACTCACCAGATAACAGACCCAGCCTGTTTTTTTTCCACTTGTTTCTTCCCCTTCAGCTCTCATCCAAATCTAAAGCGATCAGCCCTGCTGCTAAATGTAACTGAGCACAGTTCCTCTTTTCACTTTCATTTCAGCTTTTCAGATGTGTGCTTTACTCAGGGGCAGCAGAGGGTTGTGAAGAGAGGTGACAGAATGAAAACAAGGAAACAAACATGTTTCTGATTCAATTTATTTGAAAAAAAAATCATTTAATAATTTATGCAAATAATAGCACACCAACAAACTATCAGCAAATCACTACCAAATCTGGGATGAGAGAAAACAAATTTGACACATATGGTAAGATTCATTTTCTCTGAAACTCCTGGGGGGGGGGGGGGGGGGGGGGGGACTTTACTCCATAAAGAGGAAGAAACAGCAGATTTAGAAAGAAAACCCAACATTATTTATTTTTTGCTTGAATTTGTAAACTATTCCTCAACTGGCTGCATGAAACATCCTCCCACATGATATACAGTACATGTAGGTTAACCAGCACTGCTTTGCTTGCTTTAACCCTAGTCAAATGATAAACAGAAGATAAAACATCCGACAATAGTGCAAAAGGGCGAGATTGAGAGGTAATCTGTGGGACGTAAAAATACAGACATCTAAACACTCAGCTTAATCGTGATATAAAGATTTGCACCAATTTATTGACATCAATGCAGATTAGAGGGATGGGGGGGATTAATCCCTGACCAGAGCATTAATGAGAAAAAAATTCAGAAGAACACAAATTACAACTTTTCATGATCATCTTTGGTCAAATATTTCAATTCTGCTTCTGGAGGAAAGGTCATAAAAAGTTACAAAGCAACATATCTGTATAAGCAGGAATGCTTAAAAACGTGCCTTTTTTTAAACAATCGCCACTTGCTTTGTTCAGCAAGGTGGTTTAACAGCAGAGGAGTAGGCTCCTCCTTCCATTCAGATTGCACATTCCTGAAGGATTTCCTCCCTCGGCTCCCGAATAAGAAGATGAGAACCAAAAAAAAAAAAAAAAAAGCACTCCCAATTGCCTTTGAGCAGCTGTGTAAAATGACATTCAACAGTCTGGCACAGGAGGCTACAAAGTCTCTCAATTCCTGCTGTGTGATTCACAAAAAAACTTATAAATAGCTTTTACATTCCTCAATAAATTTGTCAGAGAAAAGGAATCAGACACAAAAATAAACACTGGAAAAATATTCATCTATAGAGAAATGCAATGCAGTTGAGGAGCCTGTGCACAAAAATAGTCAGATTCAAATAAATCATTTGTAACTAAACATACATTTACAGATTTCCCTGAGATGACTGTACTCAGGCTGGCTATTAATTAGCAACATAATAACACATTCATAAAAATCAGACATTAATTTATTTGATTGGCAAATAAAGAGAACATTGTGTAAGATCAAGCTTAACAAGATGAGGTGAGCTTTAATGAAATGTCAAGGTACTTCCTTAAGTCTCCACCTCCTGTGGTTGTTTTATTAAAAAAATACACTTCCAAACATTGTGAGCTCACCACAGCTTTTTAGATCCAGTCACTTCCTCTCAGACTGGTTTCACTAGCTAACAGCTGTGAACGGCGATCTTTGAATAGTCGCCGAGCAAGTTGGTGCATCTGTGTTTCTGTGCGTGCCAGACTTCAGACTAAATATCCCTGACGGAGGTCATCTGGTGTCACAGCGGCCCTCCTCACGCTCTCGCTGGGCCTTGGACCACCGCCGCGCTTAGAGACGGAGTGGACAGTTCTCCAGTCTCTAGACGAAGAAGTTCTGGAAGACTGAACTTCAGAGGAAGAAGAGGATGAAGCAGCAGTGGTGCTCTTGATTGTTTCATCGGTACCACTGGGGTCCATGGCTGCATTAATAACTGAAATTAAAAAAATTATTAATAATAAATAATTCATCCAATCTAAGAACTGGGTTTAAGTCACTCACCTTCAAGCTGGATCTGGACCCTCCGAAGTTCTTTCAAAATAGAAACCATTTCCTGAAAACAGTAAATCTGAGTAAAACTAAAGCAAAAACTTTGAAGAAATAACGATTTTCTGTAAAGTGGAAGAAGGAAAAAAAAACAAAAAAAAACACTGACCTTGTTGGAAATTTTGCCAACTGAAATGTCCCCGTCTGCATGAATTCTGTCCTCAATGTCCTCCCACATATCCATCCTGTCCTGGAACAGAACCCTGAATAATGACAGGAGTGGTGATAAAAAAGCTGTAGTCATTATCGTCTGGACCATGTTTCAGATTTAAGTTACAGGATCCTACATTTTAAATGAGGAAAATCAAATATCAGAGGAGGTACACCCCTATATTTTAAAAGTTCCAATAAATGCTATTGTTGAATTGTGGTTTGATCATCCCACTCTGGAAGAAGACTTCTCTAAATACGTCTTTAGATCCTTAACGTCAATATTGCACATTTTGCACATTTGCTTATTACAAACAATAAAGGAACAGTTATATTTACTCAGAAGATCAGGTGTCTCTGATCTAAGCCTCATTCTGTCAGTATGTAGGCCAACTAATCTATTTTAATTAAATAAGATTAGATTTAGGATACAATGCAGTTTAATAAGATTAAGTTCTGGTCAGATCAAGCATGCAGGGGTCTCTTTCTTCAGGTCTTACTTAATCTTCTCAGCAAGCTGCTCAGTATTTTCTCTGATGGCTGCTGTGACTTGATACACAGGATTCAGCATCAAACTTTCCACATTAACCTACAGAAAAAGAAAAATACAGTTAGACTATGAAACAACTGCTTTTAAAACAAAACATGAAGCTTGTGGAGTCACACCTCTTTTCTGCTTTGAGTCGAATGCCTGGAGCTCAGGTCGTGGTCATCTGACCTCAGTTCAGGTTCTCTTGTTGGTAAAGGACTCTGTTGGATTCTATGCTTTTTCTCAGACTCTGGGACATGAAGAACCTTCTGGAAAAATTAAAAGACTTTAGAAGCAAATCTCAGAGGGAGGACAAGTAGACAAGCTCAAACTGGTTTGTCCATACAGCAAAAGAGAATCAGATTTAATTTAAAGCATCGACACCAGACATTATGAATGTGTCCATAAATTCACCTTCCACTCACATTTTTCCAGTTAATAAAACAACCAAGAAACTACATGCTCATAACTCAACATTAAGACAATGTTTACAGACTTTATATGAATATGAATGCTTTATATGAATTCTCGGCCGAAAAAGAAAATAAAGATATGATCTAAAAGAAAACCAGAAAAATGTTGCTTCTTTTAAAATGAACTCATTTTGCCTTCATGAAATAATCTATTGCTAAAATATACCTGTATATCTGCACATCTACAAGACTAAACTTAAACGTTTGTAAAAAAAAATATTTAGCTAATTAGATGAGGAACACAAATGAAAATTCGTCTTTGCATCTATTTATACATTTGTAAACTAAAGCCTGACTTTGACGCAAGTGATGCAACAGAACAAAGAGAGGAACAAAAAGATTGAGTTAACTTTCTGCACGTATGAAAACAGTACCTGTCCACCGCTCTTTTCCTCAGGGGTTGGGTGATCACCGTCTCCTGCTACATCATGGATCTCTCTGGCCAGGATCGCCAAATCTTTGGCAAGATCTTGGCTCAACCTTAAAGTTGAAATAACAAAGAAAAAATGACAGAAATCATAAATAGGCTAGGCTGACTTAACCGGCAATAGGAGAGAAAATATACCTCAGATCAAGCTGCTCCTCTTCTACAGCAGACAAAACAACAGTTATAAAACCAAATGATCTAATTTGCAGTGAGAGGACTTCTCATTATTTAGTTCAATATTTAAGTGTCTTTTGTGTAGCTCAAATTATTTGTTCTTGATTTGGCTCCAATAAAAATCCATCACAACATTACATACAACTAATGGGTTTTTTGCTAATCTGTGAATCCTTTGATTTTTTTCTTTTTCTAATTGATCACTTAATACTCAGATAGTACAATGTACTTTATAGATTTCTTCCTATAAAATCTTGCCTTCAAGCCATAGCATATCATAGAGACTGCATTGTCTAATTAATGACTATATGAATAATCTAATCGGCTAATGATTATTTCAATAATCGATAAACACGATTACTTTAATTGTTTCAGCCTTGATGCATTTATTTTTACCGTAAATCTAAACTCCAACCAAATGTTTTTCAGTAAAAAGTTGTTTCACATCATACTAATAGTACAGTTCGATTCTCTGATGAATGCAGGTCAAAACCTGTGGAATGAACCAATGAAGTCGAGGTATACCCAGTTTGATTACATTTCTAAAAAAAGCAATTAAAAGTTTGAGTTGCTGCAAATTCTCTCAATACATACAGTGAGGAAAATAAGTATTTGAACACTCTGCTCTTTTGCAAGTTCTCCCACTTAGAAATCTTGGAGGGGTCTGAAAATATCATCATAGTTGCCTCTTCACTGTGAGAGACATGATCAAAATACAAAACTTACAATATATAACTTTTACTATTTATTTGTATGATATAGCTGCAAATAAGTATTTGACCACCTGTCTATCATTTAGAATTCTGACCCTCTAAGACCTGTAAGTCTGCATTAAAAATGTCCACCTCCACTCCATTTATCATCATAAATTAGATATAGATGATGCAGATCGTAAGCTGCATAAAGACACCTGTCCACCCCATAGAATCAATAAGAATCCAACTACTAACATGGCCAGGACCAAAGAGCTGCCCAAAGACACTAGAGACAAAATTGTACACCTCCACAAGGCTGGAAAAGAACACGAGGAAATTGCCAAGCAGCTTGGTGAAAAAAGCTCCACTGTTGGAGCAATCATTAGAAAATGGAAGAAGCTAAAAAGGAAAAGTTCTGCCTCAGACTGAGGCTCCATGCAAGATCTCAGCTTGTGGGTCAATGATTTTTAGAAAGGTGTGAAATTGGCCCAGAACTACAGGGGAGGAGATGGTCAATGACCTGAAAAGAACTGGGACTACCGTTTCCAAGGTTACTCTTGGTAATGCACTAAGACATCATGGTTAGACAGAGTGCATGGCACGGAAAGTTCCCCTGCTTTAATCAGCACATGTCAAGGCCTGTCTTAGGTTTGCCAATGAGTCATGGGAGAAAGTCGTTTGGTCAGATGAGACTAAAATAGCACTTTTTGGTCATAATTCCACTATCTGTGTTTGGAGGAAGAAGAATGATGAGCACCATCCCAAGAACACCATCCCTACTTTGAAGCATGGGGGTGGTAGCATCGTGTTTTGGGGGTGTTTTTCTGCACACGGGACTGGGGGACTGACTGCACTGTATTAAGGAGAGGATGACCGGGGCAAGTATTGATTTTGGGGAATCAAATACTGTACCAAATATTAACATTGATTTTTTTCAGGTGTTCAACTACTTATTTGCAGTGGTATCATACAAATAAACAGTTAAAAAAAAATCATACATTTTGATTTTGATTATGAGTTTTTTTAATTGGATTATGTCTTTCACAGTGGACATGCACCTACAATGACAATTTCAGACCCCTGCATGAGTTCTAAGAGGGAGAATTTGCAAAATATTTACAATTTACAGAATAGTTTTGCTTGTTATGAAGAGTTCATTTTGAGTTTACGGCATATAAAAAGGTACAGAATATATTGTCATCTAACCATTTTCCAGATTTTACATTCATTATAAAACAAGTTTATAAATCCAACGTTTTTTTCTAGTCCTTTAAACTAAATGAACATAAACTTAAAACACTAACTGCCTGCTGTAATGAAACAGCACCTCTGTTTTGCAAAAAATGATTATACAACTGTTATATCCATAACATTTATGTCATTTATGCGATTCCTAATTTGCTGATTTCAGCTGATTTATGTTTAAAGCATATTTCTTTTAGATATTATTTAATAAATTAACAATACTTGACCATAAATTTTTTTCAAAATCTAACAAATAAATGACTCAAATGTTTTATTCTAAGCCAGGCATCCCCAAACTCGGTCCTCAAGGCCCCCTGTCCTGCAGGTTTTAGAGGTTTCTCTGCTTCAGCACAGCTGGTTATAATGATTGCAGTAGACCAAAAGCCTGTTAATCAGCTTTCAATCAGCTGTGCTGGAGCAAGGAAACCTCTAAAACCTGCAGGACAGGGGGCCTTGAGGACCGAGGTTGGGGATGCCTGTTCTGAGCAATAACCAATTGTTTTTGTTATTCGTAGAACTGTGCCTTAGTGTCTCCTAGCACCATTTGGATTCAATCAATCAAACTAGGTCATTGTTTACATGTGCTTTTAGAGCTGTTGGCACATGATGGGATCACTCAGGTTGAATTCTAGTGCCAGATGAGAACATAATCAAAGAGGAATAGACCCTGCCTCTAATCCACAGATTACGTCTACTGCAGGTCACCTGCGTGAGAAAGGGCAACTAATATTTCCAATAAAAACCTAAAAAAGCCATTTAGCCATTTAGAAATACCCCATGTTGCAGAAAGTATTTGGTAGCTTTCATGTTCATCATTATGATGAGAGTTTAATCTTAGTCTATAGAGACCAACCTGTTGATGGAGCCCAGTTTCCAGCAGTATTAACTATTTAGTAAACGCCTTTAACACGGTGCAGGTGTGTTTATAGCCCGATGAATAAACCTAACCTGTAGTCTTCACTCTAATTCATCGATAAGTTGGAGATCAGGACTCTGTTCAGAGTTTCTCGACACCGAACTTCAAAAGTATGCAGACATGGAAGCAAATGTATTGATTTAATGGTGTCAACCAATACTTTTGACAAACTCTAAAGCTTTTTACCCCAAAAAATCTTTCCTCAGCTTTTATACTACTACAATCTTTTCCATTCTACCAATACAGGGTTTCTTATCAAAACAACAGTTAAATCTTATGACATCATTTTGGTTGTCATAATCCATTTTTGCTTAGAAAAACTGATCCCTTTTATGAGAAATTAAATAATGGAGTTTACCGTAAATATTGGTATTTTGACTCAAGGTTATCATGCACTTAGAATCTCATGGCGATCTCTGTCTTAGCAGTTTTTTGCATCATTTCTTACCGTGCGATCTCAGCACTGTGGGTGGACCAGCTGTTGAACCCTTCTCCTTCATGGTTCTCCTCATCAGAGTTGCGGCTGCGTGGTTTCGGGTGCTGGGCGACTATTGGGTGGGACCGAGGCCGACCGTGGGCACTATGAGAAGCTGAGGAAGGTTGGGAGCGTTTGTGTTTAAGATCGCTCCAGTTTGATTCATACTCTTCATCTGAGGTAGAAGTATAGTCAGAGCCCTTGTGTCGCCTCCTAGAGCCTTGCCGTTGTGAGTTGGTTAGAGTTATCCAAAAAAAGGATAGAGAAGTGGGGAAAAGGAGAGAAAAGAAGGTGCAATGAAAGATTCCTTTTAGAAAACATACCACCACGTTCATCTGATAGGAGTCACTAACATATTTCCCAGAGCAGAGACAGAAAAGATGCTGCAGAGATCCTCATCTCAACATCTATAATCTTAGTTTTCTTTTAAGGTGCTCAAATGATCCTAAACCCTACATGAGCAGAAAAATACCACAGATGATGACAAACAATGTGTGAAACTTTTACATGTTCCAAGAACCTTTCGTTTATTATAGCTCTGAACAATCTATGTATTTTTATATCCATCAGTTTTAAATAACACTGTATGAGAACCCAGAGCAGATGTGAAAGTGTTTTTGTGAATACTTTGTAGTTAGTGTTTTAGATGTTAGTAAAATACCCAAACCAGCTTTTAACAAACAAAAAGTATTAGAAAACAACAAAAACAACACTAGCAAACTGTGTTGGATTTCTAAATGTAATACCTTATAAACCAGGGGTAACCTACATAGTGCCCGTGGGCACCAAGGGGTCCTCCAGGACCACATGGGGTGCCCTCAGCATCTTCTAAAACAGAACAACTCACCAGTGGACTAATTATGAAATGTTATTTTATGCTGCTCTTATTTGGCTACTCTTTTTTTGGCTACTCTTATTTTTTCATTTGTAGAACATTTCATCATATCATAATTTAATTGCAACATCATCACAACTTGTAGCCCATCCTATGACTCATTATTCATGAAGAAGTCATAAAAAGGTTGGTGATCCCTGTTGTAGACCGTAAGCTGTTTAGCTCTTATTCCATTTCTTGTTTTAACACATGTTATAAATATAAAATCGAACACAGGGCATGCTTTGGTGGCGCAGTGGCTAGTGCACACAACCCATGTATGTAGACCTTACTCCTTGACGTGGCCGACCCGGGTTCGACCTGTGGTCTTTTGCTGCATATACCTCATACCCCCTTTCCTGTAAGTCTGCTGTCCAAACAACGGCCATTAGTGCCGTAACATGAAGGCATCATCATCCCTGTTCTTTTACAGGACCCAATTTTCTAATGTGATCAGCATTCCCCTCCCTCAACACATCTGACATTTCTTAATGAAAGGGATACTTAATGAGGCTCTGCAAACATTGGATTCAGGTGTGCTGAGGCAGAGATGCATTTAAAAACAAAAATGAGTTAGAAAGACCAGGGTTGAAGATTTCTGCTTTAGTCAGTAAATGGAGAGAGAGGGGTCCATGGATCTAATCCAGTCATCCAGTCAGACAATGTTTGAATAAAGGTTCAGATTTAAAGACTGATCAATGCAGAAATATCTGGCATGAGTCAATTTGAAACTTTTCTTTTAATAGAAAATGTATAAAATACTAATATTACAATTCAATATTATATTACTATTTATGAGAGCTAAAATTACATGATGGATGGATGGATGGATGGATGGATGGATGGATGGATGGATGGATGGATGGATGGATGGATGGATGGATGGATGGATGGATGGACAGATACAGGCTTTATGAACCGTTGGATCTATTAGAAAATTAGAATGGGAATAATGTCCAAATATTGATATTTTTGTTTTCTCCATTAAGCTTTTTAAACTTTTTTTTAATGTTACGATTAGCCATATCAAAGTCTATACTCGTTTAGTTAAACTGGGCATCCTCTAATTAAAATCCACTTACTTGCTGTGCTGCTGGCGTATTTGGCACTGCTAGAGCGTGAGCGAGTAACTGGGGTTTTGTTGAGCGCTGGCTTCTGTGGCCTCTCCCCTGGTTTGGTTCCTGGAGTAGACATGCGCTGATTGGAGCTGCTGCTGGGATCGATGCTGCGGGTGGAAAAGCTTGTGGTCCTGGAAGAACTTTCTGTGTCACTCGGTATGTTGAACGAGCCTGCGCGCTTACGAGGCATGGCCAGCATATCCAGTCTAGAAAGCTTCTTGGCTTCCTGCGTCTGCTTTGCGGCAGGGTTATTCACCTCTTGGGCTAACCTATCGGTCTCTGTGCCCTCATTGTCCGACTCTCCCAGACGAGCCCGTCGGAGCATGGAGGCCCTGGTGGGTCTTGGGGCTGACAAGCTGTTGGCCCGGCTCAACACCTGGGCCACTTTGGACGACTTGCTGTCCTCCTTCTTAAGAGGCACAATGTATTTTCTGCTGGCTGGGGCGTTCCTGCTTTCCTGATCAGAGTAAGGTAAGCTCTGGTGGTCATCACTCAGGTCTGTGGAGTAGGACTTACCTACGCTACGTCTCACTCCACTGTGCCTCCTGACGGGTTGTGCCTTGTTTTCACTGCTGGAATCATAAGAACGCTGCTTTTCAGTCTGGACATTTATTTCTTGATTAGAAGAGTCAGTATTAGTCCTGTCTCTATGAAGATTACCACCAGATGTCTTTTTCACTAGAGTGTGTGCTTTGGCCTTACTGCTGTGTTGGCTGACAGTACTGGAAGTATCCACATCAGAGTCACCAGAAAGAGAATCCATCATGGGGGATGGCGTTGTCACTGGTGGAGCTGCTTGGAGTTTCGCCTCCAGAACAGCCAAAGCATCCTCTGTCTGTCTGAGGTAAGAGTGAGTGTCCTGACTGCTGCTCCCCTGGAACAGCCCAGAGTCCGAGTCTCTTTGAACAGGCAGGCTAGAGATGTTTGGCAGCCTAGCATTACTTGGCCTCTCCTTGGTGAAGCTCTCCTGTCTGATCAGTGAGGGAGCTGCAGGTTCTTTACCCTCTGGACTCTCAGTCCTTTGGTCCAATATGGGAGCAGAAGCAGTGAACTTCATACCAGAGCTCGGAATGCCTTTTTGCTTGGTCAGCGTGGCTGATGAAAATATTCTAGAGACAGACTTCTTTTCCACCTTAGGAGTAGCCATTTTAAAGCCTCCACATTGTGGCTTGGATTCCTCCTCTGACCCAATATAAAAAGATGTGGACTTCAAAGAAAGGCTGGGCTGCTCCTCATTTTGCTTCTCCTCTACATCAGATAGCGGTCTGCCAGTCTGCTCTACGATGGATCCGTCATCTGATTTACTGGCGTCACTCAGGCTGTCAGGCTCCACATCATCCTGTACTGTTAATCTATGAATGCCGTCATCAGGCCTGGGGGCTGTTGATATACTGTTCTCCACATCAAATGTAGTGTTGGGGTTATAGTGAACATGAATGCTGGGAGTCTGAATGTCACTCCTGTCTCCGTGTGGTACGGGTGGAAGGATGCGTCGGGGCCTTGAACTATCCGCATCCAAATTGTCCTTAAGTTGACTGACTGTGTTTTTGTGGATAATGGTAGCACGGTCTGTATAACACAAAGATTAAATATCATTCATATTCATTAGTGTGTCTCATTATCATTTCAAACTGACCAATGTCTCATCAGGTGGCTTACCCCCTCCTGACGGCTCCATCTGGGAAGGCATGTTAAAGAGGGCAGATGAAGGCCCTGATTCTGTATAGCTGTCAGCCAAGCTGGCCCAGCAAGACATCCACTTAGGAGCCCCCTGTACCACAGCATCTGCCTCCTGAACCTAAGGAAAAACAAACAATTGTTCAAAAACTTTAAAACTTAAAGAAGCCACAGCTAAAAGAGCAGACACCTGTTAGTAAAGCATCACAGAATCTACAATTCCTAAAATTTGGTTAAATGAAAAAAACTAAAACAACCAGAAAGCACCCAGAGCCTCGAAGCAAGAAAAATAATCAAAGTATTCAAGAGTCACACACTTTAAAGAGTAGAGATCAAGAGGCCAAATTAAGATGTTTTTGTATACTGATTATCCACCTTAGAGATGCACCGAGAAATTGGATGACCGGAATCAGACAACTGAAGATTTCTCCTATAACATCTACCGTGTAGAAAAAACATGCGCTAAAACTTATGTATGGCACTTTTAACTTTCCTTGTGACCCATCAGGGAAGACTGCTTGGTTTTATGCTTGCACATAGTTTCATAAATACACATTTTTTTTGCCGTACTCCATTTTCACCTTTTAGTATGGATCCTACACAGTCATTGATAAATGAGACCCCTGATCGTTCATAGTTCAGGAAAAACACCCCAACTATCTGCTTAGAGGTTACGCCAAGATCACTCTTCATGCATATATCCTGATACTCTAACAAAGGAGATATATTGCGAATTTTATCATTATAATAATATAACTATGGAAAACTTAAAGAGCTCTTGTGTCGCTGCTTGGAGGCGGTACAGAGCAGCTGAATAATGGGCTATTGGGCGACGCGCTGCCAACTGGAGGTTTAAATGTTATATGGAAATAAGACCTGAAATGGATGTTAATATTTTTTAGATTTTAGATCTATTAGGCCATGTTTTGAATTATTCTAAAGCTGTCTTATGAATTATCACAATATTTGACAGAAATGATTTCTTCTTAAAACCCTGCTAGATTTACTATGAAAAATATTTAAAGGTCCCATATTAAGCAAAAATCACACTATGAACATTTTAAAACAGTCATGCGTTTCCTGAAGCCTGTGTACTAGATTCACAAATAATAATAAAAAGTAAAAAAAAAAAAAAAAAAAAACACCTTTCATGATTATTATTGCCTTTATCATTTGCCTTTATGCTCAAAATGCTCTGTTTGAAAAACATATCATAAGGTCTGTAGCAGAACATCGGTCAGCTCTCGCCTTTATCTTGTGTTTTTCTCTGTGCTACTAGGCTACCTTTATGAACCCTGACTGGTTGTTATGGCTGTATTTGTAAGCGGGTTGTTGGGGCGCAGCCTCCAAGAGGATGGGGGCCTGGAAAGCTCAAACAGCTCACCCAGAGGAGGGCCGAATGAGGAGATTTTTGTTAAAGAGTTTGCCTAATCTGAGAGGAATTTTCCTGCATAAACAGCAGAACCATGCTTTGGGGGCTCAATGTTAGTATTTTTTACATTTTCAAATGCAGAATAATATGGGACCCTTAACACAAAGGACTATCTGCAAAAGCTTTTTACAGATACAAGGTTTTCATTTTTCAATAAGATACCATATCAACACAAATCCTATTTGTTTTTATAAGTAAACCTGTAGTTGATGCCCGGTTTATTAGTAACTTTAAACAGAAGTGGGGTGTTGCTATCAACAAATTTCCGACATCAATATTTATTGTACACAGATTAAATTCATGACTGAAATTCATACTTTTTTCAGTAAGGTTATTCAAAGATTTTTTTAAATGGTACCTATTTTAGTGTTAAGAGAGTTCAATACTTCTAATCATTTTTGCTTCTCGTAGCTTTAAACAGAAACCAGCATTTTAAAGCTTTACAAATACTGTTATCTGAAATCGGCCAAACATTTCTAAGCGATGCATCTCTGATTGAAATATTGATTAGATGTAATCAGATTGAGTGATTTGAATTTTCCAACCCCAGCCAGAGCAGAAGGGGGTTACCTTTGCCACACTATGTCCCTGCTCTGGAGCTGGAATACCTTCCCCACAGCTACTCTGCCTACTGTCCTCCCTGTCCTGATCAATAACAGGCCTAAATGCTGAGGAGGCCTCTGCTTCAGTCTGCTTCATTTGCTCTGGGCTCTCAACACCAAACACCTGTCAAGAACAAAGCATTGTAACTGTGAAGAAGGTGAAACTGCAAACATTTCAGGCTCACACGTGGCAGAATATGAGAAGATGCTGGTAAACAACAAAGAGGATACTTCAGTTCAAGCAACATCAAAGAATTATTAAATAAGGGGGAGACACTTGCCTGGTCAATCTTGCCCCTTGCCTCTTCCAGCTCCTTGTCATGAACATCTGCTTCAATGGTGTAAGTTCCTGCATCACTGACGCTGTCGTCCTCCTCATTTCTGGGGCTCCTGACCTCTGCTGTGTCAGCAGGTGTTAAAGGGGTTTTTATGGGGACAGGTGGGTGGATAGGGGAGGAAGTCTGAGGGTGGAGATCTCCATCAGATGGAGGAGAGCTGGACGGGCCCTGCTCTGTCTGTGAAACTATCGTCAATGCTCTTTTAGTTGTTTTAGGCGAACTGGAAGCGATTTTCTCTGAGCTGGAGGAAAACGTTTCTTTCCGTTTGAGTAATTCAGCGTTAAATTCCTTGGAGAGCTTGGACCTCCGACCGACGCTGCTAAAAGGTTTTACAGACACTGATGAAGAAGAGCGAGAAGAAAAGCTTGTGCTGATCCTGTCTTCCGTTTTTTCCCTTCGTAGAGAGCCAGCTCTCTGAAACCCTGAAGAATCGGGTCCTTTCAGTGGAATAGTGTAACGCTGGGTGGGAGGAGTAGGGGACGATGAAGATGAGATGTGTCTCTGTGTATTAGGGCTTGAGCTCTTTTTCTCTTGCTGGACTCGGAGGTTTGAGGGCTCAGGTGGGGACGTAATCTGTGTGCCGGACTGAGAGCGCCTATTTTTTGCGTTGGCGTCAAAGAACTCGGTGACAAAGGCCTGGTTTGGTTCTGCCTTGCTTAGACTGGAAAGAGACTGAGACTCTGGTGGAGAGGAAGACAAAGGTTCCTCTGAGCCTGGTGAAGTAATGGAGGTCTTTGGAGAACCATGCAACACATCTTGAAGTCCGGTTGGGGGGGATTCATTAGTACTCAGGACGGGAGGCCCTAACTCCATGTGAGAGCCGTTCTCGTAGTAGTTTGCTGGAGAAAAAAAGAAAGTTTAAGCAATACAATTCCCATTTCATTCAAACTTAAGTGATTGTATAAAAGGTCTTACCATTGTTTATTTTCAGATCTGATGAATGACTGCTAATGTTGTATAAATTTTCCCCCTGCGACTTTCTCCTCATCATGCTTGCGTTGCTTTGGACCAACCAATCAGCCACTTTGCTTTCTGCTGATACGACCTCTGTGGGAGTGGAGGGGGCCTCCGGGGACGTTTGCTTACGCTGCTGCCGAAGGGCGAACTTGGTCACATGGTCTTTAATCTTCAATTTCCCTGGAGTACATTCATCAAATTCGATGGTGAAGGAGGCGTGGCTTTGGACCACAGGAGGCGTGGGTGTGGAGGGGACAAACTGAGTAGGATCTGAGGTATCCTTTGTTGGTACTTCGTGAATCTGTGATGTTGGACTTTTTGCAGCTTTCTGCTGGAACTCCTTGGTCGGAGCTTCAAAGTTGCTTGGCTCTCGGCGGTAGGAGAAGGTGGACTTGGCCTGAATGTCTGAGTGAGCGCGGGTAACCCCGTATCTGGATGCATCTTTGGGAGGTTCTGCAACAGAAAAATCACATAGGAGCCATTATTATTAACCTCTAACTTTATGTTAATTCTGCTTTTACTTCATATTATCTTCATCTGGTCTGTTCCGGTTTGGCTGTGACACCATCCTGGAAAGAATTATCAGCTGGACTGCTGCTATCAACACCTTTAATTATAGAGTTGCACCTGCTTTACAGTGTTTGAAGGGGGACCTATTACCTTTACTGACATGGAAAGTAATTATAGAACCGTGCTTCTATGTTAATTTGTTATGCCTGCCTCTGTCTCTTTAAACCCCCAATGCCTTGGTAGATAGACTCTTACACTGAGCCTGATTCTACTGGAGGTGTTATCCTGTTAAAAGGGAGTTTTCCTCTCCACTTTCGCTGCATGCATGCTTGGTGTGAGCGATTGCTGTAGAGCAGGCATGCCCAAAGTTGGTACTCGAGGGCTGCTGTTTTGCAGGGTTTAGAGGTTTTCTTCTTCAGCATAGCTGATTTTCAGTGATGGGCGATTAACAGGCTTTCACTGAACTGCAATCATCAGAATCAGCTGTGTTAAAGCAGGGAAACCTAAACCTGCAGGACAGGGACCCTCGAGGACCGAGTTTAGGCATGCCTGCTGTAGAGTCAATGAGTCGATGCAATCAGCTGGTTTTCCTTAGAAATGTTTAAACCAATCTAATTGTATGATCTAGTTGAATTGTCTCTGAAAAGTGCCTTAAGATGACATGTGTTGTGAATTGGCTCTATATAAATAAACTGAATTGAATTAAATCAGTAATGTATGCAGTGATATTGCTATGCATACAGAGTTCAATATATCTAAAATTCCTTATAACAATTAGTCACTATTGGTGGCAGAGAGGGTCAAAATTAATATTTTTATGCTTTTGATTATTCCTAATATAAATTTATATTGGCCAAATGAGGTTGATCATAGATTTTTAAAAAGTCAGTATGATTAATGGCCACTGGTCCGGTCGTTGCATCTCTAAATAAAGGGAAAGTCATCCTTAGTTTAGAATTCAGCCTAAATAAAACAATCAAATATTCAACTAACTGTTGTAACTAAACAAAAAAAAGCAAACGATGCTGAATATTTCTAAATACCACTTCAGGAGCACAGAGCCCAGGGCTGCTGAGTGGTAATAATCTGTTTCACTCTGGGAAACACAAGGGAAACACTGACCCTTCCTCCCCCCTTCAGCAGCTTAAAGGGTCATAATCCATCACGAGGCTAGTAGGCAGTTAGTGCCCATTGGCACAGCAAACACTTCCAAACTGTCACTCAGCAAAAGGCACGAGGCTTAAAACCTTCCATCTGTGTGTGACAGGCAGAGAGCTTCACAGGCTAGGCGAAAAATCCCTCTCAATACAGCTTAGCTGAAATACTTCAGTGGTAGCACAAACATAACACATCAATTTATTGTTAAACCTGTCACTGAACAAATCTTTTTTTAACCTTAAATGAGAATAATCCTGTACAGTTTAAGTAATAAATTATCATGTTTACAGAAAACATGTCTCCATTTTTTGTGAGAAACAGTTCTATCGACCACATTTCACTTTTTTAGGTTAATAAATATACAGTCAGACGACTAGGTATATAACCCAACATTGCAAATTTACCATAAATCAAACCTAAAAGTTAAAGTCAATCTCTAGTATTCTTAACAGGTCTGGACTAAGAAGCATTAAAAGACTGAAGGCATTCTTTACAATGAAAACATCTACGCTTAGTCTAAAATATCCCAAAATCTGTGGAAGACTTATAATCTAATAAAGCCTTTGGTTTTCTGCTGGAAAAATGAATTTAATCCAAATGAGAAGAACAATTTCAGAGGAGAGAAAATAGAGAAACCATCTAGGAATGATGTGAATAGCTGAGGATATCGTGAAAGAATTGAATCCAACTAAAGAGGAAAAGTTTCTAACACTGAATAAGATTTTGCTGCTAAAAACTTGACTTTCCAAACTTAAATGCAGTTTGCTTTATCAGCGTTTACATTTTCTTCCCTTAATACAATAGCATCTTTGAATTTGATAGAACATATGCTAAGTCACAGTGTAATTTTTTACATTGCATCACCATGGTATGCTAACAGCAGGGTGTAACGGTCTATCACAGCCGTTAAAAAAAACAAAACACATTTTCTTACCTGAAGTCTCATCTTCTGCCACTTTTCCCCCTCTGCTGTGCTTAGTGTTGGCTTGTTCCTCATCTTCCCCCCACCAGGACGGTTGGCCATACAAAGGTGTGGGCTTTGATATTGGAGAATCAGTGGAAGCTAGCAGACAAACACACAAAAATCTAAACAAATTAAAAAATACCAGACAACATAAACTCAAGCAAAGGGACTTATGATGGGAGAACAAGATAATATAGTGGCACAGTTTTGAATTATCGGGAAACTTAGAAGAAGAAAACTATTATTTAGAAAGGTCACAAGGATCTGTTGACATACAATCAAAAAAATCATAGAGGCACTAAACAGTTGTATCAGCTCTATCATGCAAAACATCACATGTAATTTATCTCATGAGATAATAAAAATAAGAAACTGCAAAAAAAAAAAAAATCAGATATAAAAGCAAAATACATATAAAAAATAAAAAAAAGAATCTTATTTCTGGGGTTTAAACTCTTCCTGCTACTGCAATACAAAGAAGTTTTCCTTTCCTGGTATTGAGTCAGATTCGCCATGTAACCACTCACATTCCAGTAAGCCCATCATGGATCCACCAGATAATCTAGGAGTTGCTTTTTTTGGGTGGGTACTGCAGATGGACACACAGCTTTCTGGTGATTAAATATGCCTCCTCAAACACAGGCATCAGAAACACACCGCTGTTGCCTTGGACACATCCAACAATACATAAACACGGTGACGAGACGAGTACAGGGGCAGGTTACCAACTCCACTCCACTTACTCAAGCCTCTTGTTTTAGCTTGAGAAACATGTTCAAGCAAAGCTAAGCGCCCACTCCCGAGTTATGTTATCACTGTTAACAAAAAGGGGATCAGAAGGAGCACTTTTTAAACATGACCAACTGGAGACAAAGCAAAGAGTTTTCATGGAAAAATGTAAACATTTCCATCTCTTTTAAGACAGTTTGGCAAAGTTCCTAATATTTTTCAGCATGAACCCAAAGTTTCATTATGATTTATTGGGGAGCAGCCATGCTTCAATGAGGTACCCACAAAAACAAAAAAAGATGATGAACAGATATACAAAAAAAGGAATAGATGTACAGATGTACTTATATTATATTGCATAAGAGCATGCTTAAAAGAACTCATGCTCTCTTTAACGGCCTCTAAACCATTATGGGGTAGAGCAGGCCTGACTGAACCACAAACTGTGTACAGCTGGAGCATCCTGCCCTGCAGCGGCTGGAGGTTTGGAACCCCTCCACATCCTGCAAGGAGAAAGGGGTACGAGCACGCTGAAGAGGAAACACAATAGCTCTTTCAGTGGTCAAGAAAGCCAGACTAACACAGCCAATTCAAAGTAGAAAAAAAATGTTTGGATGTAGGGGAAATTCATCTGTAGGGAATGTGTTTGCATAAAGTCAACAGGGATATTTAAAGCAGGCTTCGTACCAAATAGACTTTATTTCTACATATCCTCCCACAAAAACTGCTTATGAGCAACAGGACGTGTTCATTTGCTGCAGAAACTTTAGCTTAAGTCTCTCAGGCAAGCTGTGGGATGGTGTCCTTATCTTGTTGTGGCAGTACACAGAAAGACAGGCGAAGGTTAGTTTGATTATCTATCTGTGGAGAGCTGGCTAAAAGCAGCAAAGTACACTGCTGCTTTGACTGTAACCACACAGAGACCGACAAACACCACAGTGGTGAAAACATTCAGAGATTGCAATGACTGGCTTCTACGATCACTGTTAGCGACAGTCAGTACAATTATACCCAGTGCTGCAATTCCAAAGAAGCACATGAGGTTATAGAGGAGAAAGTCCTATTTTAAGCAGTGGAAGTTTCTCCCACCAAATTCAGAGGGCGTGTTATAGAGCAGAAGCAGCGGGTTGGAAAATAAACCACAACTGCAACAGCTAGGTTAGTGTGAATGGGTGTTATTCACAAAGTGCATCCACTGAGCACACTGCAAAAAATATAAATCTCAATAAGTTATTTTTTCTTAAAATAAGTGTGTTTTTCCTTGATTTGAGGAGGTAAGTAAGACACTTTGCCAATGGAACAAGACAATTTCCTTTTAAAATAAGAAAAAACTATTTTATCGTCTTATTTCAAGTAAATATTATCTAACTATCTTATTTTAAGAGTGAAAATACTCATTCCATTGGCAAATCATCTTATTTACCTGCTCAAATTAAGGCTAAATATACTTAATTTAAGCCATTTTTTACTTATTTCTGGATTGTTTTTGCAGTGCAGACAGTTGTCTCACTGTTCCCACTATACAACAGGATTAGATGAGTGAATCCAAGAGAGAAACGTGAGAGAGTTTAGATAAAAGCAGAAACCTTTAGGCTCTCCACAACACGAATAAACCATAATCTCTGTGGCCCCCCACTTATGTTAGCAGTCAGGCATGTCTGACAGAGATAAGGCAGCTTGTCCTTAACTACTAACTCACTCTTCCTGCCAGTCCTGGATGTCAAGATCGATTCCTTTGCTCACAGGATTGCAGCTTCAGCCTCTACATTCCCATGCCGGTCTAATCTCACACCAGGGAAGCTCTTAATAAAAAAAAAAAAAAAAAAGACGTGCAATCCTCTATCAGAGGATCTATAACCAAAGCTGATCAGCTCATGGAGGCTCACTAAGACTTCCTCTTTCCTGGTATTTGAACAGGATATTCAAATCCATATAAGCTGGAACTGTTGTACTTAAGCGATAACACAGTTGTAATCTTGATGCAAACTGCTTTCCTGCGAACATGCATCTGATGTGCCATTTACCTGTGAGCGACTGGGCCTTACGCTCAGTCCTTTCCTGCAGTTTAAAATTGGAAATGGTATCTTTGCTCTTCTCCAATCTCTGAAGCTGCTGTTTTTCCTTGGACTTGGCTTCCAGGGATTTTATGCTTAGCTGCAGCTGGCTGGTGTACTTCTCATGCTGGGAAGAGACAGCAGGCAGGATATGAGAAACCTCTGGCTAATAATCAGCACAGATGTGAACCATTCTCATACATATAAGGGAGGATATCCAACAGGATCTTGTTCAGGCTAAGCTCAGCGGTTTTACCAAAGCACTTTAAATCAGAAAAGGGACAGGATGTCAGTATTCCTTACTTTAAGAGCTTCCTCTGGGACTCTGTGTTGACTCCTCTCCAAAATATAAACATGGACATGTACAGAACAAGTTAAAGAAATCAAATTTACATCAGTGCAACAGTTTTGTAATATAGATAAGCATTGCAGAAACAACTAATATACAAAGTTCAAATCTGCTCTAACTTTAGAGCGCTCTCACAGGATGTCAGCTAATGTGGTTTCCCATCTTTTGAGTTTGTTGTTACACCAGACATTTTTGCAAGAGTCCTTATAAAACCAGATAACTTTACGAATAAAGCAGAATATATTTTTCCTTCCATTTCCGAATCAGGCACCAGGAACTTTATGATCTAGATGTGGGGAAAGGGACTTGCAGAACTTAAAACAAAGGGGATATTTAAACACCTTTGAAAGTAGGATGGCCATTTGTGGCAGACAGAGTGGTTTGAGTAGTTCAGAATTTGCTCTTTACAATTTAAAATGGTCCTAAAACAGAAAATATCCCATAAACTCCGACAAACAGCCAACAGCCAGTGTTTAACAGGAAACTAGCTGGAACCTCTGCTGAAAAGTTAAGCAAATAAAACATAACATTAAAATCTTGATGCTTACAGATTTTTGCTCTAGTCAATGTCATCCATTATATTGATCGGTTGACACAGTCATGGCTGAAGTAAAATATTTAACTAGAGCAATTCATTCTAGTTTATTCAGTGAGAGACATATAAAAAAACATGGGAGATCATAAGTTGTTCTGAAGGACACCAGACACACCTAAACGCATCTTCTCTTGCAATTATCTTAACTAAAGTCAGCCACTCTTTACTTTTTTTTCCTAAGGGTCAAAGGGCCTTTAAACATTTTGCCTAGATATAAAACCTGGAGAATTATTGCTTAAGTAGACAGAAAAACCTCCACACATATCTGCTCATACCAGTTTGTGCAGCAAATCCTAAACTCAACCTGCAGTAACGAAAGAGGAAAAAGAACGTTGTCTAATAATTACACGACACACCCGTTAGGATTAATGCAACAACAGCAGAGTCAGAGTCATCTATGAATGAAAAAGGATATCATAACCGAAGCGGATGACGTCGGACAGCTTCAGGGTGATGTACGTCTGGTCCGGGATCCTCAGGTCATTCACAAATGTCTGCAAAACAAAACAGAGCTTTTACAACGCCACCACAACCATAGATTAGATTTAAGTTACGGTAAAGGAAAACTATACTTGTTTCAAAACCTTTACAAATATCTTGCTAAAGAGTGATGTTTGTGTGTATTCATTCCCCTAATTCAAACACCCACAAAATAAAATGAAAAGCAATGTAGCAGAAAACTAACAAGATTTCACCCTTAACACACCATACTTATGATGAAACATGGTGGTGGTAGCATCATGATGAGTGAAAGAAACGGCCATCCATTAGAGGCTGCTAAAGATTTGGAACTAAAGTGAAGGTTTACCTTCCAGCAGGACAGCTGCTATAAACATACAGCAAGAGATACGATCACATGATTTAGGTCAAAGCATATTCATGTGGCCTAGTCAAAGTCCAGAACTAATCTTAATAATAATCTTCTGCAAGAGAAATGCTCAATCAAATTCAGCTGAAGAAAAATGATAGCCCTGCATATAAAAAGCTGATAAAGACATACTGTTAACGGGTTGTAGTGATAATTGGGTCTACAAAGCCATATTTCTAAATAGGTTTTCAAATAACGGGAAAAACTATTTGCAGCCCAGTTTGTCAGGGTCTTGGAAGGACAGAAGGCCATGTTTTCCTGCAGGAGATTGGAAATGCAATACCTTATAAAATCTTTTTTGACAGTTTATTCTGTCACTGCGGTGCCGTTACTAAGAATGGAAGCTTTACTGCAACAGACACAGACTGCATTACTCTGCATGAGACCCGCATGTTCTCCTGAAGACCCAGCCCTAACTTGGGTAGTACAAGTCTGTGCAACTTTTCTTCTGCATTTTACCTGATTTTCTTCAAGATGCAGCTATAAGGGAGATAACAGATAGAAATCTGGTACGAATTGAGATGGAGATGAAGCAACTTGTATATCCAAATCAGACAGTTGTTAACACGGTAAATTGCACACACACATAAAAAAAAAAAAAAAAAATCAGAGGTGTGAAAAAGTAGGTTTAAATATTAAGCAGATATTTTTAGTATCAATCTAAAAATAAAGTGATCAGAATATTCTGAAAACTAAATCATTCCCCTATGTTCAGGACTAGTGAACCAGTTGTGCTCCTGTGTTAGGGTGTTTATGTTGCTCTACAAAGTACTGACACAGAGGTAGATATTTTTATTTGTGAGAAATGCGGAATAATTTCCATTTTACTCATCTGTCATGCAAATCTTTATTCTGGTCTATCACATGAAATCCAGATAAAAGACATGGAATTGTGTGGTTGTGAAAAAGAACTAAAAATATGCATATATTTCACTCACATAGATTTAATGCTCATGTGCCAGCTTACGGATAAACAGGCTAATTCTTTGTTCCATGCGGTCTAGTCCTGAATGTTTGATTTCTCACTAAAACTAATCCTCCAGCAGATGGGATTATGTTATGTAACAGCAGTTTCAACACTGGTGAGGTGGAAATAAACACAAAATTTATTGTTTACTTTGTTGGGTTTCCTTCTATGTCTAGGAAGATCTGGTAACAAGGGTTACAGTGTTTTTTTTTCCCCATGGGCACCTCTGGAGAAACAAGTGAAAGATAGCAAACAAAGACAACCTCTCCTGTGTGCAAATTAAGGTACCAGTTGGTGGATTCCAGGTCTCCATGTTCTGCTCCGATTTGTTTTGGCTTCAGTTACTAGGATCCCAAAAACCACTCACTGACAACAATGACCAGTTTATACTCCCCAACTCTGGAGCTCAGTTAGTGCAGTGAGGTGGTAACCCAGCAGTAACAGGAGAAGGCCCAAGAGTTACAAACAATGGAGCCCTGGCTCCAGAGGAAGAAAGTTTGCTGGTTTTCTGCCCTCTGACAACAGTGTGACGCCAAGTAACTCACCCCGTTCAAGCTGCCCAGGTCTTTCACCATGTGCTCATCTCTGTTTGAGTCGTAGTTGATCACAGCATGCTGTTTGTCCACGCTGCGTGACTGAAAGACAAGTAAGACACTTTAAATGAAAGCACTAATGGAAAAATGCATCTCTGTAAAAAAAGTTTAGAACTTGGATTTTAAAAGTTGTCAACCCAGTAAATGGCTAAATAAAAAAAATAAAAAATAAAAATAAAAAAAATTGGAAATGCTTCTACATGCTTACACAGATAACATGATCATACCATTAAACAATAAATCAATACTAAATGCAGCATCAATAAATCATCGACAGAATAAACATTTATATTATTATATATATTGTATTGTATCACTCTTAAAAATAAATGAAAGTGATCTAAGTCTTAATGTTCAGCAGTCAGTTTAGGCAACCTTGATTCAGATGCAAGCTTTTCATCTATGGAAAAAGATATTGATATATAACACATTTCTGCATGCAAAATCTAATGCAAGATGGAAAACTAATACTGCAAACCACCCTGGACCCACATCACCACAAAGAACATGGTAGAGGCAACGTCATGCCGCGGGGATGTTATTCTTCAGCGTATTGGAAGTTGATGGGAAGGGGGATGGAGGTAAAGAGTGGCAATCCTGCAAGCAAAACCTTTTCAAACATCCACAAAATTTTTGCTGAAGTTCAGTCATCTTTCAACAGGATCATAAATCACAGAGCAACAATAAAATAGTTTATATTGGAGGATATTTTGAGTGTTACAATGTCTAAGGTCTAAATCCAATAGAAAATTAGTAATAAAACTAAAGTAAAAAAAATTGTTTTCATGAATATTCTGACGGAGCTTTTATGAAAAACAAGACTAGTTAAAGCCTTCTGCTTAAATCAGAAATGCACAAAGCTGCTGAGATGGACCTTTAAAAAAATATTTGACTACAGAACGAGGTCGTTTTTCAATTAAACCCATCTTTCCCTATAAAATTATGCACTAATCTGTGTTGGTCTGCAATGAGAAAAAGTAAATATATTCAAGTCTAAAATTATTTCTAATTAATTTATAATCATCAGAGACGACAACTGAACTGTTGAAAACTCTAATCAAGTCACAAATCGAGACTTTGCTTCACACCGTAACAATCATATTTGCACTACATGGCCAACATTCAAATCCCTGTAAATAGAATTCAACTTTGTGTTTCTACTGCATTTTGCACCAAATGTAATTATTTATTTTTGCTTTTTGCACCATGTCTCTCCTACACAATTTACTTTTTGATCACTGCTGCACTTTATAAATGGAACTGTTAATTTCACTGCTAAGATGCTCATTAACTGTTGAAAAAGCTTTATGTATCGAAATTTCGATACAATAAGGTTTGTCTAAGCCAATTTTTTTATTTAAAAGTTTGTAGACAAGATGCTAAAATTTCCCAATTAGTCAAACCTAAAGTTGGTCCTCATTTTTTCACCATACCTGCCACTAACCAGGGTAAAGACCTACCTTCTCTAATTTGAAACACACTGAGCACATTATCAGAGTGACTGACTATCTTTCTTGCTTATTCCCATCCTGGGCCCCTCTGTCACAGAAAAGCAAACCCTTTGAATGTCTGCCAAATTAATTTGCTAAATTAACGCTGTCCTAAAATGGATCAGTGTTGTTGTAAACAAGAACTCTCTGGGAGGAACTGCTGTTTGATGTTTGTGTCTGAAAGCTTTTAGACGGATTGTAAATACTGCCCTGGTCACAATGGTGGGCTTATCAGCTGCTGTACATCCTTGATTGGTTTACCAGTGCAGGATAATAACAATAATACAGTCTGAACTCAATGGCTGAAAGCCTCACTTTGCCCCTGATATCAGAATCAGAAGGCCTGAACTCTGACACTGAAAAATAACAAACACATCACTGGATTGGAGACAAAGAGGTGTTGAAGAAAGGAATTCCTGTCCACTCAGTGATCAAGCAGCCAGGCCGGTAATTATGCTGTTTGAAACGACCTCATTTAAAGGGCATTTCTGCTTTTCACGCTGAACAGGAATCGCATGTTTTAGAAAAGCCACACAAAAAAAAACAAAAAACAAAAGAAACAGGAGAAATTTTAAACTTTTTGAAGTGAAATGAGGAATGAGCTGTTTTTTTCCAGTAATAATGCCTAAACATGGATCAGAGACATGTTTTAATCCAAAACTTTAGTGGTTAGCAGAAATTTTGGCTCAACACACCACATAATTTTAAAACCAACTGCGTCTGAGACTACATTCCTTTGTTCCCGCTTTAATAAAAATTGAAAGGAAAATCATGCAAAGACCACAAAGAAAGAAAGAAAAAGCTTCACAAGGGAATGACATGGCTACATTTCAAATGGGGAGTTTAGCACAGCTAACCACCGCCGCTAACCTACTCTAACCAGAAGCAGCTTTGTCTGAGTCCTATATTAATAAAAAAGATTTTTTGTTTAGGTGTATTTTCCAGAATTAGGGCTGAACCTCAGCTTGATGCATGATACAGAACTTGATTTCCCAGCAGCGTCTTGGCTCACCTGCAACATGAGCTCACATTCTTCTCGGCCGACAAAAATCATTTCTCGGGGTAGGCGGTGGCGCGTGCCCGAGCTGCTGACCAGGAACCATGATGGGACGCTCATGTCGGGGCTACGGGTCAGGATCTTCTTGACATCCTGGAAACAAAAATACAAACGCTTTCAAATCTAATACATTTCATTCTAGATTTAATCTTTGACATTGATTTTTCCCCAATAAATTTGTAAAGACATTCAACATTTCTATATGTTAGAGAGTAGTAGAGAAAGTAGAGAAAAAAACATTTAGAACATATTTTTTGTTATAAAGGGAAAACATTACAGCTCCAAAAGTATTATTGTACCCTTTCATGGTTTAAAGTCAATTTAATGAGATGCCAAAGAAGGGATTGGAATGACTTTTCTTTGGTTTTATGAAGGATATACAGTAGCTCTGCCTATTTCTCACATGCTGCTGAGCACTGCTGCTCAGCCTGCTTAAAGATTTTCCCTTTTTTTACATTTCTTCCAAGAAACAAATGCAGGGATTTGGACAATATTCCAGTCAATCATCATTTTCTGCAAGGTAAATGACTTTTGACAAAATCAACTCACCAAATGCAGGCTAGATACACAATAACCAAACTCTTTATAAACTATTATCAGTTTTATAAAATAAGAGAATCTCTTTTGGTGTCTCACCAAATAACTGGAAGCATCCTATTTTTTCTTTTCTTTTCTTTTTACAAACTGTTAATCCATTAATCCAAAATATCTTAAACTTTAATAAAATCTTTAACAGAAATATTTGAAATTAAGCCATTTTTTTAAAGATTTAGGTCCAACATTTTTTTTTATCACCAGTTTAGTTTTAAATTGAAAACACCATCTGTTCAAAATGTTAGTTGTTGATTTTGACATCCTACTACTAAAAATTATTAAACATACAAACAATAAGTGTAAGAATCTATAGTGTTTTAATTTATGGTGAAAAGGTAGAAAGTTTTTACTGTATAACACTACAAAGTTGGGTGTTTTGGCTGATGGTGCTACCATCAGCCAAAAAAACGAGACGATGTAATGTTATTTTTTTATTCTTTTTGGGATAAACACACTGTTTTTTTCTTTAATAATTCTTAATTCTTTAATACTTGAATAATTACAAAATAAATCTACTTTTAGGATTAGCTTTACACTGCTACACCATGCATTTAATAAAGCACTGGAATGTCAATGTTATCTAACAAGAAGAGTTACCATATAGTCACCTAACCTCAGCAGATTTGCATAATAAAGGAGAATCAATACAGATTTAGGGCTCTTAGCTTCACTTCCATGGGTGGTTCTAGACAGAAGCCAACGGGGGCCAGTGCCCCTGTAGCTCATGTCCTGGCCCCGGTTATGAAGACATAATACTAAAAGAAATTCTAATGATGATATGCGCTGGAACAGACATGGTTACTGATAGGTCCTTTGGATCTATTTAATTTTTTTTCTTTGCAAATTCTGTTTTACTAATTATTTAAAAACAATAAGGTGATAGCTTCAGTTATATTGAGATATGATCCAAGTTTTCATCTACTAAATGGTTTTTTTAAAAACAATTTGCTCTAATTTTTACAACTGAATTTATCCATTTTTCTTGAGTTCTAATAAGGCTCGGGCACATGACGTCACACGTTGCGCGGCAGCCATATTGAAAGCTGGTCAGCCCATTGTTTACACTTTGACTTCGCGCCTGTAAGGACTAGCTTTCTTCTGCTAGTAGTTTGCTTAATTTTTTGCCGTTTCATTTTACCTCTGCTGTCGTTATGGTCACCCGTTGCTGTGTCGTAGGGTGTAGTAGCGCAAGCTGTGACTGGACGGGGAAAAAAATCCCAAATGGATTGTCTTTTTACCGTTTTCCAACCTGGAGGCGTCTCTATGGAAAACAAATGTCCTCCATAACAAAGAGTCGCCGGCTAGCATGGGCCGCTGCTGTAAGACGGCCAAATATAACTTTCAACTCAATCCCTGTGTCCATGAGAGTGTGTTCCCGGCATTTTCATTCTGGTAAGTTACAGAACATACTGTTTTTATTCATGTATCATTTCAAGTTAACCGTTGTTGGCTGATCTGTAGCATGTAGCATGAGCTGAAGTAGGGTTGTGTTCCAGAGGGTTAGCCAGGTCCACTGAAACACAAAACAGTTGTCCTACTCTGTTTATTTTGTCATTAATAGTTTATAATAGGGTTAATAGTTTTGGTTGTTTCACCAGGAAAGCCAGTAGATGCAATGTACACCTCCCATCCGGATTGGGCACCATCACGGTAGCTTACCTTTGCTCTGATGACTGTGTTCTCATTCGGTTTGATTACTTCCATGTCATGAACTTTTCCATCTGTCAGCTGTTTGTAAGCCTCTAGCGACTTGTAGCAGCGAAACTCTTCATGTGTGTAGGCACTGACGCCACACACTAGATACGAAAATATGTCCTCCCTCGCAAACGGCGGTAGAAATTCTTCCCCAACGCACCACTCCTTGCTTTCTACTTCGTAGGGATCAAGTCCGTTTATGAAGCCCATCTTTTGCAGATAACGGTCCCTGGCTTCCCTCTGCAGTGTGTCTCGGTATATTCCGCATCCTTTCTTCGCTTTTAACATCGCTGTTTACTCGTCTTTGTGCTCTTTCTCGGTGCTGTTTTAGGTCTTTGTTTACCGTAGCAACTAGCTGCCAATATGGCGGCGTACCCAGAATGCAACGTGCTGTGCCCGAGCCTTATTCAGATTTTACAGAAAACAGTAATATATATATATATATATATATATATAATAGAAATTTCACTTCATGCAGCCATCTTAATGTATTTGAATCCCTTGCCTTGTGTTTTTATTTCATGCTTTTCTGTGCCCCCATGAACACAGGATGGCCCCCTCCTGGCCCCCTGGTAGATTTGGTCTAGAACCGCCACTGTTCACTTCATAATCCGTCAGATAGTTCTGGTCAATAAGCAGAAAATTAAACATAACTTTGAAAACTGACAACATCTTCTTTAAGTTAACATAATTTAAGGGGGAATTAATCAACAGAGATATAGATTCGTATACACCTAGGAACTATATAATCGAATGTTAACGAGCGTCAGTGTGCTAAAAACGTTAAACTTTTGGTGGAGCTTCAGCAACATTAAAAAAATTTATATTACAGAAATAAATAAACGTAAGGGTTACTTCGGAGCCTTCTGTGAAAAAGAAAAGCAACACAGTAGCTTGACATGTTTCTGGCTAGTGTTAGTTTAGCTAACGCCTGACAGCCTGTTCAGACAGGAAGCAGCTTTTCCAATCATTTCTTCCCAACAGGAACACTTACCTTAAACGCCTTTTCTGTTTTATGCCTGAGTGACGCCAGTGTTTTAACGTCCAAATGTCAATGAAATTCGACGACCGACATGAAGCCAACAGGTGACTCTGCCCAGGTAAATGGCTACACCCTCTTCCTCCTTTGGGAGTGACACCGTCCGGACGGAGCTCTCCTCCGAAAGCCTCCAGGCTTCAGTCCCAAAACGGTGACGACAAAAGTCCCATCAAACGGGGTTAATCTGAGAGTGGAGAGAAGGACAGAGGTCTCACTCTGACTTAATTCTGAGCGCACCAACGTAGGTAGCCACGCCCCCTGTGGGAAGACTAGTTAAATGCCAGATTTTTTTCACTGGAAAAACAGTTTTTTTTTTATAACAATATTTTAACCACTTGACAGGAATAATAACAAATGAAAAAACGGCCACATGTCATCAGAGTGATACATCTAAAATTGAATATGAAAAAGTGTCTTACAATTTCTTTTTTTGTGTGGTTTCCCCATGTATTTGGACCTAAAAATAATAAAAAAAAAAAAAACACATTACAGTTTTAATTTAAAAAAAATATATTTTTAAATTTTATTTTATGGCATCTCCACTGTTATGGAGGACTAATCCTCCTATAATTAAAAATAAATACAGAAATAAATAAATGGTCCAAAAATAAACAAGCATACAATTAATTGCCCCCAATAAACAAATAAATGTAGATAGAAATTAAAATTTACAGTGAGACATAAATGTATGCATCTCTTTTAATTAGCTTCTTTCTTTTTTTGGCCTTTGTAAAAATTACCTTATTTATTCATTGCACGTTATAATCTTCAACTTTATTTATTTATTACTTATTTCTTTAAGTATTTATTTATGTGCATGTTATACTATTTTTGTCTGTAGAGGACAACAGGACGATTTGCATGGGGAAATAGAACAAGCTTAAGAAATAAAAAATTGTCTTGAAAGTAATATTTACCTAATATAAATATTATCTTGATAAGATAACATTCTCTAACATTCTTCTGTTGTTTGTTGCTTGCAAGAGCAAAAATACATTTATTTAGTTCAAGCATCTGGAAGCATCTTTTTTTTTTTTTTTTTTTGGTTATGCAGAGGAACATCTTGCATTTGGAGCACCTCATGCATGCCTTGCCATTGCAGCCCTTATTCCTTCATCTTTCCGCATGTTTTATGTCCATCATCTCTGGCACATGTCTGGCTCCTAGTCTGCGTACAGATGGCTCTGTTTGTGGAATCCTTGTTTTGGTTGGTGGCTGAAACTCTTCTTCACTGTCTTTACTGCTGTCATCAAATGCTGGACTATCCATCAGCTCTGCAGCCAGGTGCAGTTTGTAGTCCAGGTACTGCTCTGTGTTTTTAGCTGGTTCATTCAGCGCTGTACTGTCAGACTTCTACTGGATTCAAGCATTTGAGATGCTTTGATCATTAGAATACAATAATTAATGAGTTCTGAAGTCACAGTTACGAGATTCAGACATGATTCTAAGACATAAAGTCATAATGATAAGATTAAAAACTAAAATTTCAACTGTTAAAGTCATAGCATTGAAATTCAAAATAATATTTCAGAGTTATTTCAATTCTGTTTATTTCTATAGCGCCAATTCACAACACATGTCATCTCAAGGCACTTTACAGTTCAACCAGATCATACATTAACATTGATTAAAAGTTTTATATCTAAGGAAAACCAGTTCATTGCATCGACTCATTGACTCTTCAGCAATCCCTCACACTAAGCATGCTTGTAGCGATAGTGGAGAGGAAAAACTCTTTTTTAACAGGAAGAAACCTCCAGCAGAACCAGGCTCAGTGTGAGCGGCCATCTGCCGAGGCCGACTGGGGTTCAAGGAGACAGAAGCAGAGACACAAAAAGCAACTATAAAAGGCGGCCCCGTCCAGGAAACACACAGCCAGGCAGACGAGCTTTGAGCCAGCTCCCATGTCAGAGAATAAAGAAGTTAAAATAGGTGGGTTTAAACTCATAGTTATAAAACATCAAAGCTTTATTTCAGGGATTTCACCCTTTAATAATTTAATGTAGTTATTAAATTGGAATTCAAATGTATAATTTGACTTTTTAAGGTCATCATTTGAAAATTCTAAGTAATAGTCAAATGATTCAAAGTTATATTGATGAACTACAACAAAAAGTGGCATAAGTGGGTTTATATATAGATATTCACCAGTTTTAGTGAATTTAGGGAAATCTTAAGGGACCATTTATAATGCTTTACTTTGGCGTCATCTGTTTTGAAAAAATTTGTCTAATTAAAAAGAGTAAACCTGTCCATATCACAATTATTCGCATTAACTGTGTGCAATGAAATATATAGAAAATACAACAAAATGTTGAAATTCCATTCAATCAGGGCGTTTCCACTATAGACAATCTATGCATCCATCAAAGACACATAGCTTTGTGTAATCTAAATTATTTTTAAAGCATGTGAAATATTTCCTATTTTTTAGAAACGTTCCAATATTTTGTGACACTTTTACTTTGTCAAATAATTATACTTTTAATCTGGCAGTTGAATAATTTTAAAGATATAAAAATATATATTTGACTATACTTAACACATCACTTCTTAAAATTATTATTTTTTTCTATCTTAAAGTAAAAATAGAACATAATCTGTTATTCCTAGATCTCTTTTCTGGAGAAGCTGGGTAGCCGCTAGATGGCGCTATTTACCCAATAAATAATTATGTGGGAAATTGAGGCACCACCACTAACCAGCATATACTTTGTTTTATTTGATCCATTAATTATCAATTACTGTAAACTTTATTTAGTATTGTTCTGTAAAGCTTAATACTAGCACCAGTTCTGCTTATATGCAAAAAAAACTGTTATTCCGAACTGCACACATTTATTTTGTAATGCTTTAACTTAAAAATCCCTGACCAAGAAAATTAAAACAACTCTTTCACAAAAAAGAGTCTTATAACACATTAAGAGGCACCTTTCCTTTGAAGTGCATATTTTCAGTTTAAGCCCCGTTAGCTTTGCTATTAAGAGCACTACTTAGGATCAAGAAGCAGCAGCCAGTCTGCTGACATGTCCATGAAAGACACTGAACCAGCTCCTGCTCTACAGCTGATGGTGCAGCTTCACTGCTGCAACATCAAGAATTTAATTGTGAAACTGTCATTTACAAAAAGAAGAATTTAACACAACAATACTGACTTGGATGTAATTAGTACAATGCTATATGTTGGCATAGTCATTGCTGTAATGCAACTTTTTAGCTGCTAATATTAAACATATAATAATTAAAAAATTTTAACTTTATTGATCTCACACTGCAGAAATTAACTCTCTGCATTTAACCCATCCCCTTGGGGAGCAGTGGGCTGCCACTGTGCAGCGCCCGGGGAGCAGTGTGGGGTTAAGTGTTATGCTCTGGAACCCAGAGTGGAGGCTGTGGGGATCAAACAGGGTACTTGCAACCTTCTCAGAGCAAAAACATGGTGTTCTAACCATTAGGCCAACTCTCCTCACAATAATACATAAAACATTAAAGAATCCAGAAGTGCATCACAGGAAAATAACAAGAAAAGTACATGTAAGATTGTTAAAACTCTTTTGAAAATGGGGTTAAGTAAACATAGCTGATATAAAAAATACACACACAATTAGAAATATAAGCAACTCTTGTCACATTAGAGTTAAGATGTCTAAAGACAAGACTGCTGACTAAAAAGAAACTTTGATTTTTAAAAGATTCACTACAAATTTTGAAACTGACTGAGGAAGAAATCCTACCAACTAGAATGCTGGATCATAATTAATGGTATAGCAAACTCATTTATATGTGACCAATGCAAACTGACTGGATAATTGAAGTGGAGAATTGAAGTGAAGAGGAAGGATAGTGGTATATAAAATTCTTTTAAGCCATCCGTTTTTTTGTTTTGTTTTACAATAACAAAAAAGGGGGGGTAAAGTTTCTTAGAAAGGTCCAATCTTATAATACAGTCTGTGCGTGCTTTTTCTGTCACTTGGCATGAGCTTAAGCAGACAGGGACAGTGCTGCAACTTGGAAGAGGACGCTGTATGTGTTTCTACAACTTGGACAATGATCTCTTAACAAGAGATTTTATTTAGATATAAGAATTTTTCAAAATTTTTTGGCTATAATAAATTATTTCTTACACTGCTTCTCCAGTCTTTGATAATCACCCGATAATAGAGATTGAATATCTCCAGCTGAGGGCCTCTGATGGACCTGTAGGTTCTTGACACTGAAATTATGAATATGAACTATGTTAGACTCATTCTACTTTAGTGCAGGGTTCTCACCGGTTGTTTGTTTTTTCCTGCTCCATACACAGCTCCCATGTCTCCCTCCCTTTTCTACTCTTTTTAAAGTAAGCCTATTTCTTTTTCTTTTGCTCTATCATTTAATTCTAGTGAATATCTCCTTGCATAATGTCAGATTGAGCAATGTAAGGACACACTGATCCACCTGCATCAAGGAGGGGAGGGTGTGCAACAATGATGGTCCTTTTTATGGAGCATTTCAGGGCAATAATTGAATGACCTTGACCGGATCGGCTGATTCGGTTTTACAGGAAATCATTCCGAACCTTAACATGGAAACTGCACCCCTGCAATGGCGGTGCTAGGGAAAAAAATTCCGGTGGGGCCAAGGTGAAGCCACTGTTTTTCCATGGGGGCACAGATAGAAGAATGAAAAAAAGGACAATAACATTTTAACAACCCCTGTGTTCAAAGCTGGTGCTACCTGTCTGCTAGTTAGCCTTACTAGACACATGCATCACCTCATAACATTACTTTAGACAGGCATGTTAAAGGTATAGGTTCTAAGACCATCTCCACGCTGCTTGATGATCCTGTGACTACAATAGCACATGTTATTTAGAACTGGAACTGCAGGAAACCTCCCTGGATGTGGCTGCAAGGAAATTGTGCACAAATGAGAAGGATAATATGAATAGTAACAAAAGAACCCAGAAAAACCTATGAAGAGAATGGAGGTGAGCTTCAAGCTCTAAGACCAAATCGGCTGTCATTATTTTAGCCCATGCTGTGGACTTAATAGGAAACGACAAAGAGGACTCCATTGTAAAAAAGGAAAATATAATAACGCCAGATTGGAATTTTACAAACTACATGCTGACAAACTATTAAGTCTCTAAGAGAATGTCCGACGGACAGATGGGATAAAAATGTTACTTTTTCTTAAGCAAGATCAGCTCTATGTTCAGAGATAGAAAAGT